AACCATTTCTGCTTTCAACACAATATACAATTAATAGTATCTCAATTATTACAATTCCCTAGTTAAATAGAGCTTTTTTTCTTTTGTGTTTTAAAATCTTGAACTCTCCTCTTTTGCCCTAAATTTCCCATTGTTTGCACCTACCTTTTTTGGTGAGGAAAAAGAAAAAGAAATCTCTCTCTGCCTCATTTTGCCACGTTGCAACAACAGCAAAGCCAACAGCTTGCTTTACTTTCTGTTTCGTTTTTCAGCATAGCTAGGGGAAAAAAATCAGCACTCTTTGCAAGCAAGCAGCAGAGCTCTGAGCAAAACAGCTGAGAGCAAATCAGCTGAGAGTCGGGAGCCGATCTAAGCAAGGGCTAATTAGCCTATGCTGAAGCTCCACGGGCCAATAAAATTACAAAAAGACACCGAACCCTTTGTTAAATTGCTGGTTCGCCCGCCCCTCGCCCACCACTATTTATTGGCAATAAATAGTGGTGCGGAGGGGCGGGGCAAGGGGCGGGGCGAGCCAGCAATTTAACAAAGGGTTCGGCTGAACCCCCTAGAACCGGCAGAATCCCACCACTGACTCTATGACAGAAATACCTTCACACTCTTGTATTACTGCCAGTGAGAAAATAATCACTTCAATTAATATAATTGGGAGGAATTTCCATGCATCAAATTTTTATTTCTATAATTTTCTCTGTTTCAAGGATCATAGATTTTTAAATGATTATTAATGTTATCACATCTGTACTCATGCTGCTGTTTCTTACCCATGATTTCCAGACTTTGACTTAATCTAGATTGTTCCAATGGTATAATTTTATGAAAAATTCAAATTCATTGTAATGGGACTTCAGCTCTGTTGATGGCTTTTCTACTCGATAATTCAAGTGAGTTTTATTTTGACAACATTTTACAAAATAGTATAACATAGTGCATATTAATTAAGAATACTTGAATACCAGTATTAAGATGCTTGACCGTCCTTATGCCCATAACCAGATGTTGACTACTATAGCACTGGTGTATTACCATTCAAGTTTTAGCAATAAACTTCAGTTGCTTTTTTAAAATCGTGTTTCTGTCTTTTAAGTATGAAAAATCCATATTTATATAAAATTCTTGGAAGTTTCCTTTTTTCTTTTTAAACATTGCTTATTACTTGAACAGGAAACATTTATGCAGTAAATGTTTGTGGCCTTTTGTGTGGTAGAAAAATGGCAGATGCTCAAAGACAACTAAAATTAACTCTTGATTATTGACTTCCATAGGCAGGATAGTTCTAAGGCTATGATTTGGAACAGAAGTACCTGCCGATGATAACTTTTGTTTTACTGCTGTACAAAGTTTATCTATAGAATTCAGTAGTGAAGTCTCATGTATATATGATAGAGTTGTAGCTTCTTGGCCTTCTCTGTAAGCACAGTGTTGGGCTTTAAACTTGCACAGGGCAATATTTTGAAACCTTTTCTTACTGGCAAAAGTTATGTCAATAAGCCCATACCAGTGCTATGGCTTTTTTCATTTCCTAAGAAATTGTATGCAATATACCTCATAACTAAAAAAAATACAGTTTTTCTGTGCACTGATAGATTTTGAGCACAATAAAAAAGCAGTACTAGAAACACGGATATCAGGGAGAAGATAACTTTAGAATCATTTGGAGGTGTTACAGCATAGGACTTAACACTAAAAGATATTTTGTGATGTGATATTCAGCACCAGTATCATATAAAGGAAGTAGTCATAGTATGTCTCTCAGAACCTTTCCAACATTTAGTATATGTTTTTTAAAATAATATGGCAAATTTCTTCTAGATATATTATAATGCAGTGAAAGCTATTACAATAGTACACCTTTTTCTCAGTTTTTCAATTAAAAAAAGTTTTCCAGAGCAGTTCATAAAGTTTAGAAATAAAAAGGCTTTGCCTATGAAGTAGAAGAAAAGATCAGTTTTGTATAATAACTTATACTTAACAGATTTCCATAAAGGTAGAAATGTGCACAAATTATTAAGAACCAATGCTTTTTCCCCCTTGCATGACTTCTTCAATAGCAGATAGTGAGTGGAGAGAGAGGCTTGATTTTTCAAGTACTTGTTAATAAAATGGGAAGGATTTTAGCAGGGATTAGCAAGCTTTTCAAACAGGTGCCTTTGATAATTTTGAATGGGAGAAATAACCCAAAACACTTTGTCTGAAATACTATTTTTTAAAAAATATTATTTTAGACAAAGAACTAGTTTGCCTGAAGTCGTACAAGAATTTACACAACAGAAACATTGCAAAATTTTGGCATTTAAAAATCTATTTTCAAAAATTAGGTCAATGAGTACTAGTGCCATCTAGTGATATTTCTGGTGAATGTTTATGGCTTACAAAACATTTTAATAGAATTTGTAAATCTAGCTAGTATTGGTTTTTTGATAAACTTGAAGCAATTGAAATATAGTGGTTGTTAGGGATGCCCAACTCAAAAGAGAACATTTGAACTTTTTCCATTGACAAAAGAATTTTAGAAAGAAAGTTGGTAGAAAATATACAATTAAATTATTATTCAAAATGGTGTCTTCTGTTGTACAAGAAAAATATTTTTTTCCTATTCCCATGTTTATCTTAATTTAACAAGAAACCGCTTTCTCTGGATATTTGCAGAATAATGCTATTGCACTGCTGGGAACTTAATTATCAAGAAAAAAACCTTCAGAGATGCATTCCTAAATACGTAAAAGAATCTCAGCTTCCAACTTAGCCCATAGAGTTTAGGCCTATGACATAAGTTATTAAAGGGAATTGCCACACAATTTAGTTTGGCATATTCACAATGAAAAAAACTGATTTTTATGAAAGATTCAGTTGGTGAAAATAACAAGTTTAACTAGGTCTCCTCCAATACTATAATCAGGGATCTACAAGTTATAATTCAATTTGATAGTGAAGTGATTATTTTTGCTAGTGAGATAGTTGGAATCCCACCATGATTATGCTATAGTATTATATGTATTTATCAATTTGAAAACTCTATAATTAAATTATTATGATAAATCAGGACTTTAAATATTTTCCTTTTATTTTCAGTCAATTTCACTATACAGGTAGTCCTCAACTTATCACCATAATTGAGCCCAAAATTTATGTTGCCAAGTGAGACATTTGTTAAGTGACTTTTTTGCCCCATTTTACGACCTTTCTTGCCAGAATTGTTAGTAACATGGTTGTTAAGTGAATCTGGCTTCCCCATTGACTTTACTTGTCTGATCACATGACCTATTGCAACTGGCGTAAACATGAGTCAGGTAACAAGCATCTGAACTTCGGCCATAGGGATGCTACCACAGTCGTAAGTGTGAAAAATGGTCATGAATTACTTTTTCAAGTGCTGCTGTAACTTTGAACTGTCATTAAATGAACTGTTGTAAGTGGAGAACTACCTGTACCATATACAGCTGGTTTTGGACTTACTAATCACAGTTGTGACCAGCAATTCCTCTAGGCCAGGGGTGGGCAACTGTGGCCCTTTTACAACCTGTGGACTTCAACTCCCAGAATTCCTGAGACAGCTTGGCTGTCTCAGGAATTCTGTTTAACAGCTGACAGCTTAACCAAGCTGTCTCAGGAATTCTGGGAGTTGAAGTCCACAGGTTGTAAAAGGGCCACAGTTGCCCACCTCTGCTCTAGGCAATGCAGCCATAGAATAAAAGTCACCTGAGCACACCTGACATGTTCCATCAGTCCCAGCTGCAAATTGCCCATTGTTTAAGGATTAAAGGATGTGACTAAAACTTCCTGTCAACTTTCCTATTGACAATGCTAGTTGGAAGTGGGCTCTTAAGGTTACAGTAGCCACTCACTTGATATTTATAATTGTAAATGCATATTGGTTGCTCAGTGATTAAATTGCAGTGATGACCACAAGGATGCTTGCAATAACTGCAACTTTGAGGACAGGTTTAAAGTCAGTGCCATCATAACTTAAAACAGTTGCTATCTATATTCTAACCATAAAAGACTGATTCTTTTCTTACTGTTAATTATTTCTGATTTTGATTCTTCTTATAGTGCAATGCTATGCATACATACCAAGGAGGAAATTTCACTCAGTTCAGTGATTAATTTCAATCTAGGAGGAAGATTAAATTTGGTCAGCTATTTGAAATAGGAATTTTAAGTTTTAAATTGAGATGTAGATACTGTTTTAGAGGAATTTTGCTGGTGTGTATCTGTGAGTCCTTGTTGGCTCATGGCAACTGCTTGGAGAAGTCCCTGCAGTTTTCTTGGCAAGATTTTTGGAAGTAGTTTGCCATTGCCTCTTTCCTAGGGATGAGAGAGAGAGATTGACTGGGCCTGATGTCACTTTGATGGTTTTGTGCCTAAGATGAGACCTAAACTGATGGTGCTTTTACAACAAAGGTGCTTTTTTTCATAGATTCCATAGACACTTAACCACAACACCAAATTGGCTCTCTTTAAACTGTTATAATTCATCTTTTTTTGATTTGGGGATGTTTTTTCTCTTCAATCTTCATAGTGTTTCTTGTGCCTCCCCTTGTTCTCTTTCACATAAATTAAAAGTACCAAATCTGTTCCTCATGTTGACCTTATAATCTGACTATATACCCTCTCTAAGTCATAGCTTGATTGCAGTAGCATAAATTAAAGAACCCCTTCTTGAAATGTTAGGGTAGCCAAGTTCTTTGGGAAGTTTGCAGCTGTCCCCAGGTTGTTCTATGTGTACACATAGCCACTTCATTTTATGGATGATCTTCGTATACCTGGTACCTGTAAATGCACATGCAGTTTCACTTGACTCCCAAAGATAAGATTGTTTTAACTTCAAGGAGTGTTTTGCTGTGCTAATATACTTTGCAAAGCAACCTTATTGAATGCTTTGTATAGCTCTTCTGAAAGCCCTGTGTTCATTTTCACTTTATATTTTTTTAAATGTAATTTTTTAAAATATTTTTATAGGTTTTATTCAACTAAACTGACTTTTTCTTTCCTTACCACAGTTGAATATGTTGTGGAATATAATTATGATGCTGTACATGATGATGAGCTAACCATTCGAGTTGGTGAAATCATAAGGAATGTAAAAAAGCTTGAAGAGGAAGGATGGCTAGAAGGAGAACTAAATGGGAAAAGGGGCATGTTTCCTGATAACTTTGTTAAGGTAAGCATTCATTATTCATTAAAGTTGTTGGTTAACTTGATTTATTATATCTATATTAAGAGCCATGGTGATGCAGTGGTTAGAATGCAGTTCTGCAGGCTACTTCTGCTTACTGCCGGCTGCCCGCAGTTCGGCAGTTCAATTCTGAGTGATACAAGTTTGACTCAGCCTTCCATCCTTCTGAGGTCAGTAAAATGAGGACCCAGATTGTTGGGGGCAATATGCTGACTCTATAAACTGCTTAGAGAGGGCTGTAAAGCACTGTGAAGCGGTATATAAATCTAAGTGCTATTCTATACTGGTGAGAATTTAGTTTAGAGATCAGAAATAATCAGAAAAGGGTGTTTGAAGAGTGGTGTAACATAGCATATTTACATAAGATATTTCAGTGTGCTTTTTTTATCCTGTCTTTATTATTTTTATAAATAACTCAAGACTGAACATATCTAATAGTCCCTTCTCCTCTTATTTTCCATGGAGCAACAACCTCGTGAGGTGGGTTGGGCTGAGAAGTGAGTAGCTGACCCAAAGTCACTTAGCCGGCTTTCATGCCTAAGGCAGGGCTGATGGCATTTCCTTTCGTTAATATTTCTGTAGTGAGTAATCACTACATCCTTTTTATATGTAGATGCTAGTTGTGCTTTGAACTGCTAGTAAAATAGTAGGTATTCAATTCGTGCTAATTTGGTCATGATAAAAATAATATACTTGCCTTCAGTGGCCTTACATATCTAGTCATGACCATCCCATCCGAAATACTTAATAGAGTGCAGGAAATTGTGACATCAATATGTCCTGATAGGTAATAAAGAAAAGTAATATGTTTTACTAGTGGATACTATTTCACTAATAGGCAAAAATAGTTTTTAAAATTGATTTTCTGGAGCAAAACTAGAAACATACCTAGATAGTTCCTAATGTTATTTATTTATCTTTTCGTAAACATTCAAAAGTCCAGTGCTTCCATAATTTTAAGTCAGGAAACATGACTTATGATTCAGGCTTCTTCGCACATATATCATTCAAAATATGAACACAGTCATCCTGTTCACATAAATATTGAAAATATTGAAATAGGAGCAACTAGGAGCAAACTACTGTATAATAATGTAATTATTCATTACATTATCTAAAAGTAATGTAATGAATAATTTAAAAACCGGTGATATCACAGCAAGAAAACTCGTGTGCAAAATAATGATCATTTACAGCTGAGGAGGACTCAATTCTCAGTCATGCTTAAAAAACTTCTGAAGGAAGCCGTGTTGTAATGGCCTTTCTAATTGCCAATAGTTTTGGCATTGACTTGATCCAGGAAAAATCCTGTTCCCTAGCAGAGAAGTGGCAGCAGAAAAGAACCTTGTTTTCCAGAGTGGGGACCAAACCTGAACCCTCAGTTCTTAGTCTTATTAGATGGGCAGATACCACTGAGATCAGGTCATCCCAAAACTTTAAAATTGACAAAACAATACATTGAATGTACCCCGAAACCAACCAGTAATAGTGCAACTCTTAGAGTTAGAGGTGTTAATTCACATAGAATAAATTCTTTGTATTACAAATGTTTCACAAGCAAAATTATGCTTCTTACCTGTATAGTCCAGAATTTATCAATCTTACCTAGCCAAAGAATCCCTCCCTGTCTTCCAAATTCCAACGATCTTGTGTATCATGACAGTAAGAACCATAAAATAAAAATTCATTTAAAATATAATATTCTGCTTTTATTACTGGTTCTAAAATAGAATTAATTACTATTAATTACTAAATTAATAGTAATTATGTCTTTTTTTTTAAAGAATCCTCAGACTATTCTAATCTGGATTAATTAGATGTGGGAATCTTGAGGGTATCAAGAACAAATTATTATAAATAATAATTTATTAAATGTATATGGCATCCAATTCCCAAGGACTCTGGGTAGTTAGCACCAATATAAAACAGGTGAATAATTCAGTATTCTAGCATTTTCCCCATGAAATATTCCATTGTTAGATCAAATGATATTCACGGCCAGGACACACACTATATTAGGATTTGACAGATGCTTTGGACAAAGCATGACCCGAGTCACCATTTTGTACCTAATACATCCTTGATGAAATCAAGTAATTTAACCAAAATAGAGCGTTGCAACCCCTTCCAAATTTCTATCTGAAGAAATTTGAAGTTAGCCTGCATTTGTGAATCTGGATTTATGTTATTGCAGTGCAACCTCTATTAATTGAGAAGGCAGATCCTCAGAGCTGCACAGAAACCCTTTTTAGTCCTTTTCCATCCTTGAGGCAATAGAATGCATTTGTAGCACATGGCAAAACTGTGTCCAGAGCACTTGATCATGCTGTATAGGAAGGTGCCCTTAGCATCCTCTGCAGGCCCCAACCTTGCCTGTGTTTGCACACAATGGAAGCCATGATTTAGCAACGGCAGTGGCTGGGTCACATAGCACTGATTGGAAGGACGGCAAATATAACTCCTTTTATACTAATACGGGTTAAATATCAGCACCAAAGAAGACTAGGCAAGCATTTTGGTTGAATTAACTTTTTTTAAAAAAAATATAATTCTTTAATAATCCTTTTATACTCACAGATCCTAAATTCATAGACATAAAAAGCAAAAAATACAAAGCATATCTCTAGGCTTTACAGGAAAAGAGATGGGAAAAGATCTGAGAAGTGTAAATAGCAGGTTCCTCACTGACGATGGACATTATTAATTTTGTAAAAAAGTATTTTTGGAAAAGGGTAATGGCCAGTAACATAAAGCTGCAGACAGATATTCTCTTAGATGAACTGTACCACTGAGTACAAAGGGATAATAACTTTTGTGTGGAGTGGAGGATTGTTGATCTTCCTTCACAGGTATAAGTAGGTATTGCTACAAGCGTAGGCAAACCAGGAAATGTTTGCTTAGTTAATATTTGAACTTTGGCCACTGCAACAACTAGGTAAAAAATTCTGCAACATATACACCTGGGTGTGTTGAAGCAAATATGTCTTTAGAGCCAGTAAGTTCTTTTTTAAAAAATTCTTGCTAGAAGTTCCTAAACCTAATTAAATCATGATGTTTTTATTTTTTAAATGATTTAGGGGATTATGTAATGTCATGGCATTGCCTAAAGGACTGTTTGCAAATAATATATTTTTTCAGGCTCAGACAGCTGTTTATTTTTCATAAACTTTATTTATTTGGATTTAGATAATGTTTTAGTTGGGATATGGATTTAGATATTGCTTCCATTTTATGGGCTTTAATGAATTTAGCAAGGTAAAGTTAAGCTGCAGAATTTACTTATTGATTTCATTGTGCATTTGTTTTTTAGCCTTGCTGAAAGGAAAAAACAAAGTAGGCAATTTTTAAGATATTTTCAAATAAAAGTCAGCTCTTTTGAAAAAAAAACCTGACCAACTCTCTAACTTGTTAAGGCTGAAACAAACGGAATGCTTTATTTTCTTATGCATCCAGTTATTTAAATCAGCTTCCTTATGGTAACTCTGCTGGGAAATTTTTGGTGAGGAATTTTTAATTGTATTGTTGATAACTGAAATAATAATTAATTATAATTTCTAAATTATTTTTATTCCTATATTAGAGATTTTTTAACTCTTCCTGAGTTCTAATGAAAGGCATTGATGACGGGTTTGCTGGTATCTAATGCACAAAATACTAATACTATACTAATATGTAGGTGATACTGGCAATTGTGATGCAGTCCATAGGTAACAGTATTAATTTAAAACAACGCAGAGAAAATACTCAAACATTTTCTGCTAAACTGCTTACATGCTTGTACCAGGATAACCTTAAATTGTTTTTACCTGCTGTTTGGTATTCGTTGCATTGCTAATGTAATGGTAGCTTCAGTTTTAATAATCTGACTTGGATGTCATGTAAGGATATAAATAGTACACAGAAATGTAGAGCTTGAGATGGGGGAAGCATTTCCTATCAGGAAACTCAGATTGTTTATGCAGCCAAAAGAGTAATGCAAAAATATTTGGGAAAGAACTTGCAAATGCTACAATCAGAACTGAGCATGTATTGTTCAGTGACTAAGAAATATTGAATAAGGGTCAAAAAATGGAAAATTAAGAGGAAGTGGAAAGGAGTAGACTGGAATAAGTACTTGGAATTCTAAGAAGGACTCCAGAAGCTGCAGATTTCACTTTGTGTTCAAATAAGGGATCATGTTGTTTTGCTAGAGTTAGGTTGTTACTGAACTGAAAAAAAAAAAAAAGAAATATTGTAAAAAAGAGTGACGTTGAGCTGGTTATGCCCACCCTGGTCTCCTGAGGTCAAACACAACCCTGATGTGGCCCTCAATGAAATTGAGTTTGACACTCCTGCCTCCATTTCTTTTTTACAATATTTCTTTTTTTTTTTTCACTCCTGCCTTCAGTGATTCCCTTAACAATTGTGGCAAGACAGGTCATAAAATGGAACAAAATTCACTGAATACCTGTCTTGCCTAGCAACTGAAATTTTGGACTCAATTGTGCTTGTAAGTTGAATACTACCTGTATTATTTAAATAGGCCTTTGAGGTTGCCATAAAATACACAGACAGCATCACCACCAGATGGATTTGTAACTGGCTGATACACTTCTCTCAATGTGTAATCCTTAATGGATCTACATCTATATGGATGGAAGTAAGCAGTGGGGTTCCCAAATGTTTTTCCTTAGGCTCAGTACTCTTTAATATATTCATAAACAATTTAGATGGGGGAATAGAAGGGGAACTCATCAGATTTGCAGATGACACCAACCTGGCATGAATAGCCAGCACCCCAGAAGATAAGCTCAAGATCCACATGGATCTTGACAAATTTGAACACTGGGAACCTAACTAATAAAATGAAATTCAATATAGAGAAAAGAAAGCTTTTACACTTAGGCAAGAAAAACCAAATGTACAGGTATAGAATAGGTGGAACCTGGCTCAATAGCTGCAACTGTGAGAGGGATCTAGGAGTCCTAGGAGACAGCCACTTAAATATGAGCAGGCTATATACTACAGCCACCAAAAAAGCCAATGCAGTCCTAGGCTGCATTAACGGATGGATGGAATCAATATCACATGAAGTGTTAGTTCCACTTTACAATTGCCTTGATAAGACCACACTTGGATTATTGCATCCAGTTTTGGTCGCCACAATATAAAAAAAAGATGTTGAGACTCTGGAAAGAGTGCAGAGAAAAGCAACAGAGATGATTAGGAGACTGCAGGCTAAAATATATGAAGAACAGTTACAAGAATTGAATATGTCTAGCCTAGTAAAAAGGTGTAGGAGTGACATGATAGCAGTGTTTCAGGATTTGAGGGGTTGCCACAAAGAAGGGGGGGGGTCAACTTATTTTCCAAAGCACCAGAAGGCAAGATAAGAAACAATGGATGGAAACTAACCAAGGAGAGCAGCAACCTGGAACTAAGGAGAAATTAGCAGTGAGAACAATTAACCAGTGGGACGGCTTGCCTTCAGAAGTTGTGAGTGCTCCATCACTGGAGGTTTCTAAGAAGAGATTGGACAGCCATTTATCCAGAATGGTACAGAGTTTCCTGCTTAAGCAGGGGGTTGGACTAGAACACCTCCAAGATCCCTTGCAATTCAGTCTATTATTCTGTCTAACTCAGTCTGCTATTCTATCTACACAGTGTGGGTGAGGACTTGGGCTTCCTTCGCTCAAGTCACATCACTCCAGCCAGTGACAGGAGACAAACTGGCCTTACTCTTGCCAAGAGGCAATAGCATAAAGAAATTAAGAGTGCATTATGATTTGTACTTTGACATTGTATCAACATATTTATCATAGTAGGCTGCTATTGCATAGCTTTCTTTTTATGTGGTGAGAATTGGCAACTCCTCATGGTATAGTCATGTGTATTGAAAAATATCTCAAGACTGTCTTTGAAATAAAATCATAAGGATTACTTAGCTACCTGATTGCCATTTGTTGGAGAATGGAAATGAGAAGTTCCAGGAATCATATTTTTTTCCTGCTGGCATAGAAATAACTTTCTTCCAGAGGTTAAATGTTATTCAGCCTGCTGCAAGTTTTCCATATTTTTGGGCAGAGTAAAACTTTTTGTCAAATAGAAATCAAGAACTCTTGAAATTTTCTTAATATGCTTAAAATAATTAATATGAAATTAAATTTTAAGAGCTTAATTAATATTTTATCTAGTTTGCTAGTAAACTATGATGGTTATAGCGTATCTTGTGAAAGTGATGGGAATGTATATGTTTTATTTTGATTATTTGGAAAGAGTTTGAGCCAGGGAATCCTGAGCAAGTGGATAAGATCCTTTCTCTACCACCTGTGGATTCTGGATTCATGTTCTTCCTGGCTGGTTAAGGATTCCAAGGAGATGGCATGTGAATGGTTCCAAGCAGTAGTTAATGTCTCATTATGGGATGGGGATGTTCTCCCTGCTTGGATGGGAGTAGTGTTGCGCCCCTTTCTTAAGAGACCAACCTTGAACCCAAGATCAATGATAATTTTTGTCCTCTCTACAGCATTTCATTTTCTGGGAAACCAGCAGGAACTTTACTTGCCTAACAACTAGAACTCAGTTAATGGTGGCAGCTGAGACTGAGATTGCCATCACTAAGCAATGCAGTCAAACTTTATGACTGCATCACTTAATGATGGGAATTCCAGTGCCAAAGCCGAGGACTATCTGTAATCACAATTCAGGCCAAGTTGAGATAGTATTGGTGGTGTGTGCAGATGACTTCTGGAAAGGTCAGACTTGGGCTGATACATCCATCCTGGCCTTTCTGGATCTCTCAGCAGCACTATTTGCTAAGGTAAGGTTGGAGCCACAAATATGTGGGAGAGTACTTTGGGGATGGCAGGGCAAGATGTAGTTTTTTGCTGCTAATATTATTGCCCCTTTTTGAGTGGTGCTGTGGCCTAGAGGTGAAGATGCTCACCTTCCACTCGGCTAAATTTCTTCTGCTCAACCTTTCTAGGTGTGTGCCTGTTAAATGTGCTCATTTTTGCAATTTATATTTGTATGGCAGGAAAATGACACTAAACAAATTATATTTATTTTCCTATGAACCAGACAGTTAACATGGGCAATTAATTTCTCATTTTATATTTACCAGGAAGTTAAAAGAGAAATTGAATCTAAAGAAGATGGTTTGCCAGTCAAAAGAGAAAGGCATGGAAATGTGGCCAACCTTGTTCAGCGTATGAGTACTTATGGGCTTCCAACCGGAGCATTCCAGCCTCAGGGTAAAGGCTTCAGAAGAAGTATGTATTGTAGTTGATTTCTCCAGTACAGTACTTTTAAAAACATATATATATTCCTGAAGTCACAAAGGAGTGGAGAGAGGCTTAATTTGATCTTTATTGGGTTAGAAAAGTGCTATTGTATTTTTGAATTGATGTCTTTATTCATAAAGTGGGAAATTTGAAAGCTCTATTTAGAGAAACCCTTTAAGTATCTGTAAGTTGTTTGAGTGACCTATCTGTTTCTTTCCTGCCTTCTAGGAAAAAACAAATGGGATGTCCCTTCTTACAGGGTACTCTGAACTTGCATTATCCTTTGCTAAGGGTAGGTTCTGAATAGTGATAGCTGGAATATTAAACATTCCAGTCAGTCTGTGTGTCTGCCAATCCATTGAAATGATTATTCTAAGAAATGTAGATTCTTTGGTGCTCTCTGAGTTCGGTTGTTGCTTGCAAAATTTTTATTATCAAACTAGGTAACATTATCAGTACAAATGAGTGTGGAGTTTGCTCCTGTGTTAACTGTAATAACTTGCCCTGTGTCAGGCCCAAACCCGAAGATTATGCAGCGAGATTCTGTTGAGTCAAAACCTTTATTTGCTTAGATCTAATGGGCAGAGTCTTGCCAAACTAAAACTATAATCTTTTAATCTACTAGACATATCTTGAGAGATTCTAGGGTGTGGCTACTCTCATTCCCTTCTCCCCTTGCCCCATCCAGAACAGAACTGCATAGTCTCTTAATCTGGGCCTCTCTCAGTAAAGCTCTGTGTTTACTAAAACTCTTAATCTATTGATTCTCCAGTGTACATTCCATTACACCCTGCCAGTTTTGGTGGGAGTATGGTTTTCTTCTTGGTAGTTCCTTGCTTCAAGTATTTTCTGCTTGATTATTTGTCTGTTGTTAATCCCTGCTTGTTTATCTGGGTGTTGGCCACTGGAGAGGATATGTTCTGGAGTTTTGAGTGGGTTTTTTTGTTAGTTTTTTTGGGGGGGGTATTTCTCTTTTGAAGAGTGTGTAAATATGCTTTATCTCTACAATAGTAAGTGGCTATTATTATTATTATTATTATTATTATTTATTTTATTCAATTTGTATACCGCTCTTCTCCTAGTGGACTCAGGGCGATGCATAGCCAGAACTAAAACACATACCAATACAAAATTTAAAATTATTAAAAGAATTACATAACTTTGGCCCAAATTTAAAATAATTCGAATTAAAACCCATTGACAATTTAAAAGCTAAAAAACTAAAAAAGACTAAAAAGGGGGGGGGGGTTCATGCCAGCCCTGCTTGATGGAAAAGAAAAGTTTTCAGGGCACGGCGAAAGACCCGGAGATCCGATATCCTTCATATCTCCGGGGGCAAATCGTTCCAGAGGGCAGGAGCTGCCACAAAGAAGGCCCTCCCCCTGGGGGTCGCCAGCCGACATTGCCTGGCTGACGGCACCCTGAGGAGTCCCTCTCTGTGGGAGCGTACTGGTCGGTGGGAAGCTATCGGCGGCAGAAGGCGGTCCCGCAAATATTGATAGCTTATTTATCTGAATGCCAAGTTTCCAGTAATTCCCTAGCATTTAGGGATTTATCTTGGCCCAAGATGCCTGCAGTTTCTGAGCTGTGATTGTGTCTGTTCATGTGTTGTGAGATTCAGGAGTTTTCATTGTGTCTTTTGATTGCTAGTTGGTATTCATGGATTCACTTTGCTAGTCTTCTGCTTGCCTGTCCTACACACAGGTAGTCCTTGTACTACCACAATTGGGATCAGAATTTTGGTCACTAAACTATGCAATCATTAAGTGAGTCATCACATGACTGGACCTGATTGTATGACCATTTTATATGGTTGTTAAGCAAATCACCATGGTTATTAAGTGAATCATGTGCTTTAAATAAATCACATAGTTATGTGACTTAGACTTCCTCATTTGACTTAGCTTGTTGGAAGCCGGCTAGGCAGGTTAGAAATTGCAGTCATGTGACATCCCCTAGACACTGCAACTGTCATAAATGCACTGGTTGCTGTGCACCCAAATTGCCATCACATCATTGCAGGGATGGTGTAAGAATTGTAGCTTTGAGGATGAGTTGCCAGTCACTTTTTCCAAAGCCGTTTATATCTAGTAATAAAGCAGACTGAGAGTTCAAATGAAATTACTTTGATAGACCTTAAATCAGGATACAGGTTGATAACAGTAGGTTAGAAAATGGATTAAAGGGGTTTTTGTCAGGACCAGACTTATATTCTTTATTTTCCTGCATGTTAGATTTAAAATGTTGTAGTTGTTGTTAGTACAGAATGCAGTGTAAATTTAAGTTGGAGTAGTAGTATTGGAGTTTGGAACTAAAAGGCCCAGATACGAAAGAAAATTAGATCTAATAAGTAATTAACCATGACCCTTTTCAAAATTTATATTCATGTTGAATAATCCTAACTCATTGTTTGTTTGTTTTTTAAAGAAGGAAACCACATTTTCCAGCATGTAAAACTTTAGGCACTTAACCTTCAAATTGTAGATTTGTAGATTTCCCTAAGTGAAATGATGCTAATACAACCTTTGCATGGTATAGTGTTAAGAATTTTTGAATGCATACAGAACTTTTGTTCAAAGTTGTTCACAGATGAAAAACAAGAAAGCAGTGACTTGCAGTAAATTGGTCATCCTTCCAGCTGATTCAGTGCTGCTAAACTAAAGTGAATATAATCCAGAGTCCAAATTCTCTCCATCCATCTCTTACTGACTAGCTGATATCTGATATCTCTGGTGGGATTTCAAGAAGGGAAAGTCATTCCCTAAAGTACTACTCTGCTTAGTCTTTTTTCCTTGCAGAATGAAAAAGGAATTCTTTCCATGTGCCTGAGGTGGTTCTTCCTTTCATTACGTACCGTATTTTCCGGCGTATAAGACGACTGGGCGTATAAGACGACCCCCAAATTTTCCTGTTAAAATATAGGGTTTGGGCTATACTCGCCGTATAAGACTACCCCTCTTCCAACGCACACCAAATAAAAATTAAAAAAACATCAACTGGCTCACCCACAATGTAAAAGCAGCTGTGCTAGACCCAAAATGGCCCCTGCAACAAGCAGGAACCTCACACAGCCACAAAAAGCCCAAAAACCCAACTTTCACACTTTACACACACAAAATTCCACATACAGCTTTGTGAGATTTTGTGTGTTTGTGTAGTTAGAGTGAAACACTACAGAAACACACTAAATCTCAGAAAGCTGCACAAATATTATTTTATTTTATTTTATTTTTATTTTTATATGAAAGCTAAATTTAAAACTTCCTAAACTTTAAATGGCTAGGTCTAAAAAAGAACAACTAAAAAAAACCCCAATTAACTATTTTTTTTTAAAGATCCCAAAGGGGAAAAAAAACTTACCCAATAGAACAGGGGTCTCCAACCTTGGCAACTTTAAGACTTGTAGACTTCAACTCCCAGAATTCCTCAGCCAGCTTTGTTTTGCTGGCTGAGGAATTCTGGGAGTTGAAGTCCACAACTCCCTGCCTGCTTGATTGCAGGCAGGGAGTTGCTTGCTGATGGAATGGATTCAGGCAAGCGAAGCAAGGCAAGCAGCTAAGGCAGTGGTTCTCAACCTTCCTAATGCCGCGACCCTTTAATACAGTTCCTCATGTTGTGGTGATCCCCAACAATAAAGTTATTCCTAAAACCATCAAAAATATGTGTTTTCCTATGGTCTTAGGCCAGGGGTCCCCAACCTTTTGGACCTCAGGGACCACCAACTTCATAATTTTAAATTTTGCGGACCACTAATACGAATCCAGTGCACCGCTTGCTGAAGCACCTGGACTCCCAGTACGGGATGGGGTCCTTCAGGCACTCTCCCTCCTGTCTGTCTCTCTCTCTCTGTCTCCCACTCTTTCTCTCTCATTCTCTCTTTCTCTCTCTCTCATTTTCGCGCTCTCTCTCTCCCTCTCTTTCTTTCTCTCCCACTCTTTCTCATTCTCTCTTTCTCTCTCCCCCTCTCTCATTCTCTTTCTCTCTCCCCCTCTCTCATTCTCTTTCTCTCTCCCCCTCTCTCATTCTTTCTTTCCCCCACTCTTTCTCTCTCTCCCCCCTCATTCTCTTTCTCCCCCCTCTTTCTCATTTTCTCTCTCTCTCTCTCATTCTCTCTCTGATTCTTTGATTCTCTTTGATTCTCTGTCTCTTTCTCTGTCTCTCATTCTCTCTCTCTCACTCTCTGATTCTCTCTGTCTCTGTCTCTTTCTCTCATTCTCTTTCATTCTGTCTTTCTCTCTCTTTCTCTCTCTGTCTCACTCTGATTCTCTCTCTCTCATTCTCCCTTTCATTCTTTGTCTCTTTCTCTCTCTGTCTCATTCTGATTCTCTCTCTTTCTCTCTCATTCTCTCTCTCTCTCATCTCATGGGCCAGCCAGTGTCTTGGGGCTGAGAGGAAGTCAAGCATCTCCCTGAGAGACTGAGGGCCGAAAGAAGTGTGGGAGCGAAGCACTACTTGAACTTGTGCGGCATGAGCATTCGCCTTGGTATATTTGCGCCAGCCGATGGCCAAGGCAGCCCTCATCTGTCTGCTGAAAGTGCAGCATCAGGATTCTGCCTTGCTATATTTGCGGCGCAAGGCAGCCTTTGTTTCCTGCTGCTTGGGACTCAGAGCGGTAAATAGCGTCTGATCCGGAGAGCAGCTGGATTTTGCTCTCTAATCCAGATGCCAAATCGGCCCTCTGCAAACTCTTACAGCCCCCCTGCAAGCTCTCCTCTCTCAAGCAGTCCAACCAAAGTTTCCAGCCCCGCTTCAGGGAGCGCTCCTCTAGAGACGAGAGTTTGCAGGGGGCCGATTTGGCATCTGGATTAGAGAGCAAAATCCAGCTGCTCTCCAGATCAGGAGCCATTTACCACTCTGAGTCCCAGGCAACAGAAGAGGAGGGCTGCCTTGCGCCACTCCTGACACAAATATACCAAGGCGGAATGCTGTTGCCGTACAAATGAAAGTAGTGCTTCACTCCCACAGCTTCCAGCCATCGCAAACGCCGCTTCTTCCCGCTTCTGCCGCCCCCTCCCCCACCGCCACAACAGCACCATTCATTCCGGATGGCGAGGGCTGCGCTCGTTTTTCTGTATTGCACCACCTGCAAAACCCCTGTGAAAGAGTTGTTTGACCCCCAACCACTGAGCTAAGGTAAGCAAGCCGGAGGGGGAAAAGTTTTTCCCTTCTCCGTGGCTCTGGCGGTCCCAGCTGAATTGCCTGATTAGCAGGCAAAGCTGGGATCGTCAGAGCTTAGATCGCCAGAGCCATTTAAGGCTCGTCAGAGTCTTTCGGGCTGGTCTGCCTGGTTACAGGAGAACGACACCCGGCGTATAAGACGACCCCCGACTTTTGAGAAGATTTTCATGTGTTAAAAAGTCGTCTTATACGCCGGAAAATACGGTATATTGTGCTTTTCTCCATGTCTGAATATGAGCAGCACAGAGTTGCTGTTTGTCAGCAAGATACAAAAAGCCCAGACACTTGTGAATGAGATTTCACAGAACCAGGGCTGCAGAACAACTTGGCTTACGTAGGTAAAACCTGGCTAGAAAGAATATGCATATTTTATTTTTTATTTTATTTTATTTTGAATTTGTATACCGCCCTTCTCCCTGAGGACTCAGGGCGGTGAACAGCCAAGTAAAAACATCAAATACAAATATTAAAATACAGTTAAAATATACATATATAAATTTGGCCCCATTAATTAAAAACAATAAACAAAACACTTAAAAACACTTAAAAAAATATATCTCAATATAATTTTAAAGGAATTACAAATCAATTTATTTCTTTTACAGAGCAGTGAACATTCTACATCTATTCTTATCATTTAAGTATCCTTAATCATAAACAATAGAATCTTGAAGTTTTAATGAAACTTTATTTTGAATAACTTTTCTTATTATCAACAGGGTCAAAAAAGCGACCATGTAAAGTTCTGTTTGAATATACTCCTCAGAATGAGGATGAGTTAGAACTGAAAGTAGGTGACATTGTAGACGTGAATGAAGAGGTAAGCTATTTTAAAAAAAATTTGTGAAAAATTAAATCTGAAAGTCATAATTGAATTGAACTCTAGAAATGTCTGTTTTGCTATTATAGTTCCAAACTATCGAAAAGGCAATGGCTATCTTACTTTCTATCTTACAATTTCTATCTTTCTAACTTACAATTAACTAGACAGTTATTATAGTCCTTATTTATGCTTGAAGGACTGAAAAATTGAAATAGGAAAGTTAGATCTGATAGTGTTATTTAGAGATTTACTGTAGTAATTAAAATACTAGAAATGAGACGCTCATTAAAACTTACGCTTTTTAATAAAAATATTAATTTCAAAAAGTGCCAATCACACTTCTGATTTTTGTCTGCCATTGACTAATATAGTTCTCCTTCTATAATGGGAGACCCAAATATCTATTTTGACTTAGAACAGGGGTGTGAAACTCGCATCATCATTGTGGTGTCATGTGACATATTGCGTCTTTTCCCCCACTTTGCTAAATTGGACATGGGTGTGGCCAGCGTGTGACACATCCGGCCCATGGCAGGGGTGAAATGCTCCCAGTTCGGACCTGATCGCCCAATCCGGTAGTGAAGGCGGCAGATGGTTCGGAGAACCGGTAACAAAAATCCCTGTCCCCCCCCCCCGCCCCCATGCCCAGCTGAGCCACATGATCATCAGAGGCTTTTTTAAAATTATTTTTAAAAGCATTTTTTCTACAACCTCTTCAGCCAAAAAAATGCTTTTAATAGTAAAAAGAAAAAGCCTCTGATGATCGTGTGGCTCAGCTGGGATCGTCAGAGGCTTTTAAAAGCATTTTTTTCTGCAACCTCTTGGCCGAAGAGATGGTAAAAAAAATGGTTTTAAAAGTAAAAAAAAAAAAAAAAAGTTGGCCACGCCCACTCAGTCACATCCCCCCCACCAAGCCAGGCCCACAGAACCAGTAGTAACAAATTTTACATTTCACCATGGGCCGTGAGTATCTCTCTGTTTAATTTAAAGAGCCACATAAATCAAATTCAAGTTCATGCAGTAGTATAAATAGATGAAATTTTTTTTTAGATATTTTCATTTCTGTGTTGCTTCCACTGTGAAAAAGATAAAGACTACAATTGACTCTATATAAATAGCTTGTTTACCAACTGCTTGTATGACTTCAGAATTACAGTGGTGCTGAAAAAAATAACTTTGTGACCAAGGCATGCACTGACCATCTTCAATGTGTTTGTCTTGGTCACATGTTTGGCATTATAGTTAGTATACATTGTCCTGTGCCTGACCCATTTTTTTCTCCCCCATCCCCTCTGACAGAGTGAAGAGATTGCTTAAAACAATTGATCTCTTCCTCAGCTGTTTTTCTCTACAGTGCTTTCCCAAAAGGTGCTAACTGCAACTTAACAAGCTCTGCTCTGTTATCTTAATTATCTGGCTGCCAGCTGCTGCCTATAACTGACAATACATTAATAATTTTCACACCTTGGGCTTTTGTTTTCCTCCTAACCATGGGTACTTGAAGTCATAAATGCATTAGGTATATAGCTGCTGCTATCACATTCCTTTCCATGTGTATTCCCCATTGTGTGCCTGTTTACTCTCTTGTAATCGCTTCCTCTCCAGTAAATGTAAATACCAGCATTAATTCCCTTCTTCCTAATTATTCCAGTGCTGATTAGAGCATTCCAAAGGGCAGGGAAGTAAGGAAAAAAGGAATGTAAGAAAGTAAGGAAAAAGGAAGTGAAATTATAAGCACAGAAGAAGTCACATAATTTTCTTCTTAATGACTGCATCACATAGCTACTGAGTTACCAGTGCCAATTGTGGTGACTAAATGAGGAGTACTTGTGTTGCAGATTTTTCAAAAGCACCAGTTGTACATCCTCAGGAAAAAAAAATGTGCTACAGATCTTACAAGCCATTGAAACAGTTCTCTTCTCAGCCTTCTAAGAGTCTTCATCAAGCCTATATTCTAAACTTCTTGCTTATGGTAGTTTTCAGACTCCTTAGAACTTGCAGTCAGTTACTAATGTGAGGGAAAAGAAAACTAAAGACCATTCTTTTTTCCTCCAATTTATACTGCCGCCATACAGTATTTTCTCTCTTTTGGTTGCAAGACATTGGCCCAAAATGTCAGTTTTCTCAAAATAGTCTTTGCATTGTTATTTGTAACATACTTGGTCATACTTTATGTTCGGAGTAAAGTTGAACAGAGTAGTATCACCCACTGCTCTGTTTTCTTAGTATCATACGGTTTTGTAGACAATTTCTATCCATTTGTGAATGACTTATTCCTTGTCCAACATCACTATTCCTTGCCTCACATGGTCTGATCATTTAAGTATATATACTAGTCCTGCTTATTCAATGTACTTCTGAATTCCTGCATATCTCTGATGGTATTTTTGCTCTAATGGTGAGAACAGTGAGCATCTTTACTTTTCATGTTAGAGATAATCCAACATCATTGAAGAGAGATGGTTATATGAAATAATTGGCGAAGATATTGAACTAACACCAGAGATATTTCTCCTGGGAATAATAAAGAAGCCATATGGAAAGGAAAAGATACATTTAATGATCCACATAATTACAGCCGCCAGACTGGCATATGCACAGTACTGGAAAGAGAAAACTCAACCACCAGAAGAGCTCACAATTAGGAAAATATTGGAGTGCGCAGAGATGACTAAATTAACTCATGAATTAAATGATGATGAGAAGTCAGTTTATTATACTGTGTGGGAAAGGTGGTACAAGTGGATGCATGATAAAATGAAAGATAGACCTAAAGGTGTGTTAAATAACGGTTAAAAGTGATCTGAAATATCACCAAGTATTATTTATGTAAATAGTTAAAACACTGCACATCCGATACTAACTGAAAATGTTATTACACCTATGTTTTTTATGTTTTTGTTTGTATGTTTGTCTTTTCTTTTTTTCTTTTTTTTCTGTTTGTAAAAAATCTCAATAAAGTTTCTATAAATAATCCAACATCATTTTTCTCCACAGGTGGAAGAAGGCTGGTGGAGTGGGACTTTAAATGGCAAGACGGGCCTTTTTCCTTCTAACTTTGTAAAAGAACTAGAGATTACAGATGATGGAGAAGTACAAGAAAGCTTAGAAGACACAGGTAATAAAATGCAGGTGAACAGAAGGTGGACTGGATTACTATTTTGTCAGTTTCAGGCTGGGATTCAATACAAAGACGGCATTAGTCATATTTGCTGATGACCTGGTGGAGCTAGGATGGAGTGTTGGATGCATCCTTGCTCTCCCTGATCTTTTCAGTATCTTTTGATACTGTTGATCATGGTGTCCTTCTGGACCAACTGTAGGGCTTAGAAGGTAAAGGCACTGTAATGTGGTGATTCTCCTCCTTTTCTCAGCAGTCAGTTCCAGTTGGCGTTGACAGGAACAATAGAATCATAGGGCTAAAAGGCATGGTGATGGCCTTCTAGTCCAACCAAGATGGTGCCCTCTGCCCCTCAACTATGGGATGCCTTAAGAATCAATACTTTCTCCTTCTGTTTACCATTTACATGAAACTGAAGGGAGAGGTCATCCATAATATGGAGTCTGGTACGTGTAATACTTTACTGGTTAGCATTAGGTCATTAGGCAATATAAGATACAGAATAGTAATAAGATCATGTGTTAAAAAATAGAGTAAAAGACATAAGTAAAATGGATCACTGCAGTGTGTTTCAAGGGGCTGCCCTTGAAGAACTCTCAAAAGGTTCAATTGGTCCCAAATGTGGAGATGCACACAGTATTGGGTGTTGGTAAGTTTGCCCACATTGCACCTCTATTGCATGAACTGCATTGATTTCCAGCTTCCTCCTGGGTGCAATGCAACATGCTGGATATCACTTTTAAATGGCATGGGATCTGACCATTTGCAGGACAACCTCTCTCTAAGAATATCTGCCTATATCTCCAGATTTGATAGGATAGGTACCCTCCAGTTTCCTTCTCTGAAATCCTGCCACTTAGTGGTATCTCAGAAATGTGCCTTTCTCCATTGTTTGGTGGAGACAGCAGCCAGCATGGGTAGCACTCGCCCAATCAGCTGAAGGACTGAGTCAGCCAATTATGTTAAAGTCCGCCCTTGTTGCCGGGCAGATCCAGCTTTTGGCTCAGTCCTTTCAGTTGATCGGGCGTGTGGATTATAGGCTCTGTATTCTTATTTCTATTTCTATAGCTAAATATTGGATTCTCCTGCTGGTTTTTGACTTCGGTTTGTTAGACAACGCTTTTCACTTGTGTATATTGGCTTTGGACCTTTGGACTGTGTGACTACGACTTTTGGACATTGTGAGTGAACTCTGCCCCTTTATTTGACCGCTACTGGAAAGAAGCTCCGTTTTCTCTGGATCTCCCCTCTGGGGGTTGGGGGGGGGATTGTTTCCCCTTCGTTGTTTGCTGGAAGGCTTTTTCAGCCCCAACGCCTTCATTTCTCAGTGTCTCCTGCCTCTGATCAGCGTTTTTTCACCTCAGCGAGGTTGCAGCGGCCATTTTGGGGCTCGTTTTTGCGCCTTTACAACTGCGGCATTAAATGAGCTCTCCGGTCATCAGCTGAGGATTTCATCATCGGCTGACAGTTTTGGAGCGGGGAGGCTTGTTTTCACCCCCCCCTTGCTTGTTGGTTCCGTTTTCTTCTGGAGGACTTTCTCACTTCCTTGCCTGCTTGGCTGCTCCTGTCAATCAGCGCCTCAGCGTGGAGAGTTTTCTTTTGGCTGGGAATTGGACCGTATGCCCTTGTCAGCTGCTTAGCTGGACTTGTTCTTAACCTTCTCTGCCTTTTGCCTTTTGCCTATTGCCTCCTGTTGATGACATCAGTGGCCTATTCGACTGATAGTGACATTCATCCGGAGTATTAATTTGGACACATATTGTGGAGCGTTAGCGCCCCCTATCCTTGGCCCATACTGCTCTCTGGTGGACATTACACTGCCTGTTTGTTTCTGACATTATTGAGGAGCTTTTACGCCCCCTGTGGAATTGCTGTGTTGTCTGGGGCTAATTGGTGGAGCTTCGCGCCCCCCCCCCTATTTCTAATTGCGGCCTTCTGTGTCAGTGCAGCTATGCCAAAGGCGTTGGCAAAATCTAAACATGGCCATTTGGCCAGTGCTGCTGCTCAAGACCAGTCTCGTTCTGGCTCATATGACAAATCTGCGGAAACTGCGGCTTCAAGAGGCTCATTAACATCGCCTGATTCTTCGCAGTCTCGTCAGAAAGGCCTCAAACACAGCAGTGTTTCGAAATCTGAGCAGCGCAGAGACAAAGTTCTACAGAAGCTCTGCGAGAAAGCGAGCTCTAATGTTGCTACTAAGAGTGTGGTTCCCGCTCCAGTAGCTGATAACCATCCTCAGGAGCCTCTGCCTAGACCAGATACACCTGACCATTTGTCATTGAGAGATTGCCCGGTGACCATCTCGACTTCGGATTTGTGGGGCTCTTCTGCTTCTCATCCTCCAGCTGTCTCTGTTCCGGAGGTTGTGCAACCTGTCGCTTCTGCTCCTGTGACATCTTCTCCGGTGGCAACAGTTTCCGGGCAATTGCTTCCAGAGCATCTTCAACTTGAACACCTTCAATCTCTTATTGACGCCGTGGTGCAGAGATCCTTAGCCGCACACAACCAATCACGCAGTCATCCGGAATCTGTCCGTTCGACTTCCTCCGCTTCTCTGGAACGACAGATCACTGAGGAGTCTTGTATTCGGGCTCCCGATTCTCCTACTGGTTCCCATTCAAGCCATCCCTCAGCTTTGACTGATGTAGACTACTGTGATTCTGTCTTGTCTGACGACGAGAACTTGCCTCAAGACCAACCGGCCTTCACTGGACTTTTCCCACAAGCCTTATTTAAGTCCTTATTATTTAAGGCCGTCAACACTGCTCGTTTGTCTTCACCTTCTGTGGACCCTTCTCCGGCTTCTGAGGTTTTGGATCCCATGTTTGCCGAGCCGGCCAGACCGGTTACCTCTATTCCGACTCCTCCCCTTTTTGTCGATGTGGTGAAGCGCCAGTGGTCGGCCCCTTCATTTTCTTCTAATGATCGCAAGAACTTTCAGGTCGCCTCTGAATTGGACTCTATACTTCAAGTGCCTTCGATTGATGCCCCCATTGCCGCTCTATTGCCCAACGCCAATGTTCCGGGTGATCCGAATGAAGGCCTTCGCCCGGATGAACGTCGTTCGGACCTGGTACTCCAACGGGCTCATCAGAGTTCCGCCTGGGCTATTAGGGCGGCTACCACCACTTCGTTCTTTAATCGCACTACCTTGCTTTGGCTGCGCCAGCTCCAAGAGAAGTTACCCCCGGAGGACACTCGTGTCCGGTAGGACTTGAATAAGATTGTCGCAGCCTTGCAGTTCTCGGCCGACTCCACTTTGAACGCGGCTCGCTTCACTTCCAAAGCGATGGCTTCCTTGGTTGCTGCCCGTCGTCTGGTCTGGCTCCGGCACTGGCAAGCTGACGCCCGCCATAAGTGGCATTTGGCTTCTGTTCCGTTTGGGGGGTCCCGCCTCTTTGGTGATGCCTTGGAGCCTTTCCTCACTGAAACCAGGGACAAAAAGAAGATCTTGGCTTCGGTTTTTCGACGGGGAGACTCTCGTTTTGCCCCTTATGCCCCTCGCTCTCACTTCCGAGCTGCTGATGGTGCGGGCCCATCTCACTTTTCTTCCCCCAGGCCCGACAATAGTTTTAGTAGGCAGCGGGGTTTCCTAGACAGGTCATCACGTGGAAAGCCTTTTGTGTCCAAGCGGCTCTTTCGAGGGGGAGGAGGTCGTTCCTACCGACGCCAGCGCTGATTGCATCGCGACTCCCCCCATTGGCGGCAAATTAGCCCTCTTTGTCGCCGCATGGGAGAAGTCTACTTCTGATAATTGGGTCTTGGCTACTTTAAGATCTGGGTTGGCCATTGAATTTCTTTCCCCTCCCCCGAGTACCTTTGTTTGCTGTCCGATTTCTCGTAATCCTGAGAAGAGAGCGTGTATGGACGCTGCAGTACAGCATCTCCTTTTAGGGCTATACAACCCGTCCCTCCCGATCAGGTCGGGTTGGGGTTCTATTCCCGGGTTTTCCTAGTCCCTAAGTCCTCGGGGGGGTGGAGACCCATTCTGGACCTAAAACAGTTAAATCGGTATGTTGTATACCGTAAATTTAAGATGCAATCGTTGAAATCCATCCTTGACGGTGTTAGGAGGGGCGATCTCCTTTCTTCAATCGACCTAACTGAAGCCTACTTGCATATCCCTATTCTCCCTTCTCATAGAAGATATTTGAGGTTTTGTTACGGGGGGATTCACTATCAGTATAGGGCGTTACCCTTTGGGCTCTCGTCTGCCCCCCGTACCTTTACAAAGGTATTGGCTGCTTTGGCTGCTTCTCTCCGGGTTCAGTCTGTTAGGCTTTTATGTTATTTAGATGACATCTTGGTGTTGTCTTCTTCTGCTCATCAAGCTGTGTCGGATATTAAGTTGACTCTGGGGACGTTAGCTGCCCATGGTTTTTCTGTTAATCTAGAAAAGAGCAACCTTGTTCCCTCCACTTCTCTAGTTCATTTAGGGGCCCTAATTGATTCGGTACAAGGTAGGGTGTTTCTCTCCCCTGACCATCAGAAGAGCTTAAGGGACTTGGTTTCTAGGATTGAAAGTTGCAGGTCTACTTCCCCTTATATTCTTTCTCAGCTATTGGGAAAGATGATTTCGGCCATTGCCATTGTTCCCTGGGCTCAGCTCCACGCCCGGGAACTTCAATGGTTTCTCTTGCCTCTACAGAAATCGGGCAAGGGCACATCAACCAGACCGGTTCCCGTCCCCTCCTCGGTACGCCGTTCCCTTCGGTGGTGGCGATCCCCGGCGATATCAGCAGGCTGTCTCTTCCTGGAACCTCAACGGGTGGTGGTAACCTCCGACGCCAGTCTCCGGGGCTGGGGCGCCCATTGCCAAGGCCAACTTGCCCAGGGAACGTGGAGCGTAGCGGACTCCCTTCGTCCAGTCAACTGGTTGGAACTGCAAGCTGTCTTCCTGGCTCTCCGAGCGTTTCGCCATCTGATCTCCGGATCTCATGTGCTTGTGCTGACGGACAATGTGACTGCCAAGGCACATCTCAACAAGTTGGGCGGCACCAGATCCAAGGCCCTGTTATCTCTGGCCATGAGACTCGGCCTTTGGGCGGAACGTCATCTCGAGTCTCTACGGGCGGAACACATTTCAGGTGTCGCCAATGCACAAGCAGATTGGCTGAGCCGTCAGGTGGTGGACAATGCGGAGTGGCGCCTTCATCCCAGGATCTTTCAATCCCTGGTCCATCGGTTCGGGACGCCAGTGGTAGACTTGTTTGCAACTCATGCCACTACTCAGCTGCCCCGTTTCTTTGCCCGGTTTCCGGAGCCTCAGGCAGAAGCCATCGACGCACTTCGGGTTCCGTGGCCGAAGGGCCTGTTGTACGCTTTCCCACCAACCTCCTTACTACCCAGGATCATCCGCAGGATCCTGGATGAACGGGCAGAGGTGATTCTCTTGGCTCCTCATTGGCCGCGCAGAGCATGGTTTGCGGACTTAGTCTCCCTCTCGGTCGCTCCCTCCTGGCGCATTCCCTTCGAGGCGGATGCTCTGACGCAAGGGGCACTGAGCCACCCGGACCTTCCTTGGCTCAGCTTGACCGCCTGGAGATTGAGCGGCTCACCCTGAAGAGTGCTCTCTCCCCGGAAGATGTGATTCGGACGATCCAGGCATCGAGACGCTCCTCCACTGACAGAATATATTCTGCGACTTGGGCCTTCTGCTCATGGTGTGACCGGACTAGTGTGAATGTCCTCCAACCCTCTATTATGGACACCCTTGTCTTTCTCCAACGGGGTCTCTCTGATGGTCTCGCCCCTAACACATTACGTCGCCAGGTGGCCGCCATTTCATCCGTACTCACCTGCGGTTCACTGTCGTCTCTGGCTCTACATCCTCTGATTAGGCGTTTTCTTCGGGGCGCAACAAACCTGTCTCCTCCGGTCCTGCATCGTTACCCGACCTGGGACCTTCCGTTGGTGCTTGAGTCCCTCATGGATCCTCCGTATGAGCCTCTACGGATGGCTTCCCTACGGCTGCTGTCTTGCAAAGTCGCCTTTCTGGTGGCAGTGACCTCAGCTCGCCGCATTTCGGAGGTAGCGGCTTTATCCATCCGAGCTGACCTCTGCGTGTTTCACGCGGACCGTGTTGTCCTCCGATTGGATCCTACTTTCGTGCCGAAGATGAACTCCGTCTTCCATCGCGCACAAGAACTTATTCTGCCAAATTTCTGCCCGCGTCCTTCTCATCCCCGTGAGCGCCGTTGGCACACTCTGGATGTCCGGCGGTCTCTGCAAATTTACATCAAGCGGACTGCTACTATTCGCCGTTTGGAAGCGTTATTTGTATCCTTCCTCCCAGTCTCGTTGGGTCTCAAGGTGTCTTCCTCTACTATAGGCCGCTGGATTCGTCAGACCATTGCTTCAGCTTATGACCTTTGTTCCTTGCCGCGGCCTTCTCGGGTAACGGCCCATTCCACACGTAGCGCGGCCACGTCGGCAGCCTGGGCTACGCAAGCCTCGTTGTTGGAGATTTGCCGGGCAGCTACCTGGACCTCGCCTGCACCGTTCATACGGCACTATAAACTGGACAAGTTTGCTTCGGCTGAAGCTGCCTTCGGTCGTCGGGTGTTACAACAGGTTGTGGCCAGTGATGTAGTTTTGGACCAGCCTGGCCCCTCCCAGATTTGGGGACAGTGAACTGGGGTATGTCCCATGCTGGCTGCTGTCTCCACCGAACAATGGAGAAGGGGTGTTGGTCCTACCTGACACGTTCCTTCTCGTTGTGTGGAGACAGCAGCCAGACCCTCCCTTTGCCTGTCTGGTCCTATTGGAGTCTTTCTTCTTGGTCTTTCCTTTCTGCCTACCCACACGCCGAGTCTGCCATTATAGTCCTTCATCAAAAGCTGGATCTGCCCGGCAACAAGGGCGGACTTTAACATAATTGGCTGACTCAGTCCTTCAGCTGATTGGGCGAGTGCTACCCAGGCTGGCTGCTGTCTCCACACAACGAGAAGGAGCGTGTCAGGTAGGACCAACGCCCCTTTTCATGGCTGTCCCGACCTTACGGAACACATACTCCCCCCTGATTTGGCAGCCCCCACCCTTTTAAATTTGGGAAAAACTATCAAAATATGGCCTTTTACCTAGATGCTGAAGTAGAATAGAATAGAGTACATAGAATAGATTAGAATAAGATCAATTGCAATTGGCTGGAGGACATTCTAAGGTCATGATTAAAGTTGTCGTTTTTGTTTGACCATTTTATGGTTTTATGGTTATGTTTTATAGTAATTGGATTTTATTGCTATTATGGCCGGCCCAGTTTTGTTTAAGATGGACAGCCATACAAATCCTTTATATAAATAAAAGAAAATGCAAATCATATTTCAGTGCAACCATATAATTTACCCCAATCACATCCTTCATCAATATGTGAAAGATATTTAGGTGTACATTTCTAGCCAGCCAAGTGAGCTTCAGTGTCCTGTCCCTGTGCCTGAATGTCTGGATGGGGAAGAAGAAATCCAGGCTCCTTCATGCCAAGACTGAATAGTTGTGGATTTTTCATTTTCCCAGATCTGGAATCTTTCCTTCTTTAGTCTTAAATAGACTTGCACTAGTGAACAACTTGGGATTGTCTTGGACTCGCATCTTTTGCTCAGAGAGCCAAGAGGCTAGAGATCACCTGAATCTCCATTGCATAGAACCAAGTTATTTGAGAGATTACTGATTTTCCATAGTTTTCTCAGCCTGGTTGGATTGATCTCCTCGGTCAGTTCTGTCTATTAAGACCCATACCTTCTTCATTGCAGCACCTGTTTTCTGAAATGCTATTCCCCCAGTGATCCACATAGTTCCCATTTGGATGATGTTCTGGATGTCTTTAAAAATGTGGCCTTGGAGTAGGGTGCTTGTGGAGCCCCTGCTAGTTTTATTTCTTGGCTATAGAATATGGCTCGTCCATGCATATAATTTTTTAAATTGTTTTCTATTTTTTTAGAGTACATTTCACAGAGTCATTCTGAAATTGGGCAGTTCCAAACTACTATTACTCTAAATTAGTAATATGTAGTATCATTTATATGGAGTGCGATTAAAGATTAGTTTTAGTTAATTGCATATGGTGCTTAATTTCAAGCACATTTATTAGTCCATTTAGAGATACAGTTTGCTCAAAGCTAAACATATGTAAGTATTTGAAGAATTTGAATTTATATGAGGTTCCTCATTGTTTGGAAGCAAACTTACAAATGTTACTGTATAGTCCTAGTGAGATCCAACTTTGTTTTGATCAACAGCCCTGTCATAATAGCGTAATTGTCATTAAGTATTGCTACATTTGATCAAATATGTCAAGGATAGACTCATCTATGGTTAAGCTATTCCTGGATTGTCTCCAGGCCACATTCCTGAATAGGTTGATTGCAGTTATTAATATTTCCTCCATATCACATATAGCCTTGGGAAGGGAGAATCACATTTGGAGAGGAGAATCACATTGAAGTAAGGGCTATAACTTTATTCACTTTGGGCTCTGGGTGTACTGACATATAAAATATGGTCTGTCACCAGATTTAACCATGATAATGAGATTTTAATTAACTTGTGTACCCCAATGAAATGTATATGTATGATATATTACAGTTACTGCCAAATAAGTATGTTTGTATCTTATAAAATTTGGAATGTTAAGAATGTATGTATACGCTTATAGAAATATAAAAATATTTTAAAGCTTCCACATCTTTAACCTTACGGTATTTGAATAGTATCTCTAATTTTATCTTAATTGATGTAAACTGTTAATACTCAGATTGATGACATATTCAATCAAAGAGCAGAAAAATACAAGTTATGGTGAAATTTTCTCTTCCTGTCATCTTTATATGTTTGCCTCATTCTAGTGTTTCATTTCTTTACCCAAGTAATAAGGAGAAAGGTTAGAGTTGTAAAAACATCATGTAATGGAACCTCAACAGTTAGATCTGAGACAGAGCTGGAGATTAAGGGCATCCTTGTGAAAACACCCCCGATTGTCTCAGAATGGATAATTTTTCATTCTCATGCCTTGTGGAAGCTTTGGTTTCAAACTTCAGGCCTCCCTGCATTTGCATGATGGTGCACCCTCTTCCCGCCCTGTGGCCCTGCATGGCCTGCACTGGGCCTCCCTGGCCTCTACCTGCTTCCCATTAAACAACCTGCACTTGGGGTTACAATGAAAACTGGCACTACCAAATGATGCTATCACCTGATGTGCTTTACAACCACATCATTTAGCAAAACAATCCCAGTCCTTATTGCCATCGTAACTTGAGGCCTACTATATACAACACAAAAGTAAAGTCAAATCATTGAGCTAAAATATGAACATAACAAAGAGTCTCCATAATAAAAGTATAACATAAACTACCATAATGAGACCCATAATGAGTTTGATGAGGTGGTTAATACCCTGGGCTAGAAACTGGGAGACCAAAAATAAGTAATGAAGGGTTTCAAATCTTCTAGATGATTCATATAGAATTCACCGACCTTCTTTGGAATGTACATATTATTAAGGACAGAGTGTAAGTGAACCTAATATTCCTGTAGTATTTACAATGTAATAGATCCTGCATTGAAAATCCCAATGCTAACGCATACTTAGTTGGTCCTGTGTGGATGCTTAACATAAACATAAGCGCTAACCTAATTTTTCCATTTTTAGAATCTGTTTTTCATGGACCACAGTCTCCTGCAACCTCACCAGGAAATGGTAGCGAGTCTCCACAGATAGCACAACCAAAGAAAATCAGAGGAGTTGGGTTTGGAGATATTTTCAAAGAAGGCTCAGTAAAACTTAAGCCGAGATTGTCTAGTAATGATTCAGAAGAAAAAAAGCAAGATAAGGTAATGGGCCTAAATGATACACATTTCAAAATGTAGCAATTGTATATGTTGTGATAAAAAGCTTGTTACTTTGTGCACTTATAAAAACAAGATTGTTTATTTTGGGAAGAAGTTTATTCTGCCTTTTCTTAAGAGTTGCTGTTTCACAGGTAACATTATTCTGCAGCAGTGGCTGTAAAAGGCATTCCATTGATGCCTTTTACATTAAGCAGTTTACCGTATTCTCCAGATCTTTAAAACTCTATTCTTAAGTATAATTTGGGAAAATTTGAGGGCCAGTATGGTCTGTTTGACCAGGAATGGGAAGACCTATGTTCTAGTCCATCCTCAGCCACAGAAACTCACTAACTTTGTCTCAGTCACTCTTAGCCCAAACCCTCTTGCAAGTTGATATGGCATAAAGTGGGAGGTCACTGTGGATACCTACTTTTCTCCCAGAGTTAATGGTGGGATACAATTAAAAAAAAAGCAACCAGCTGCATAAACTATCATTTGAAAACTTTATCCTAATTAAAAAGAGATGGTTTCAAGAGTATGGCAAGCTGCAGCAAAGAACACATTGGGAGTCAGGCAGCATACAAATAGAATGGATAAGTCACTAAAAGGAAGCAAAAACTTCCAAATGCCTGTTCATGTCTGTACCAGTAAAATAGCACATGAACATGGCAGTAGAAATGGCAGGGAGTGGGTGGGAATCTTCCATAGTTTGACTAGGTTTTTGAAATTCTAAAGGAGGACTATGCATATAGACTGACTATATGTTGAGTACTTCAGGCAGCACAGATTGCTCCTTTGTAAATGATGCACTCTGATAATAAAATACCGCTTTTTTCGGAGTATAAAACGCTCTGAAGTATAAGATGCACCTAGCTTTTGGGGAGGAAAACAAGGGGGAAAAAAATCTGCCTCTGCTTCCCAGCAATTTGCCTCCTTGCACCAAACAGCAAACAGCCTGTTTCAGTTTCAGTTTCAGCACAGCTGATTAGCACAAGAAAAAAAAAAATCTGCCTCTGCCTCCCAGCAATTTTAGCTGGGTTTGCTAACCCTTTTAGCAAACAACCCATTTCAGTTTCAGCATAGTCTGATTAGCAGAAGAAGAAAATCTGCCTCTGCCTCCCAGCAATTTGCCTCCTTGCAGCAAACAGCCCATTTCAGTTTCAGCACATACTGATTAGCACAAGCAGCTGATTGTCGGTTTGATCGGCCTTCCGACGATCAGCTGTTTCAGGTTGCAGGGATGGCAATAGCCTATTGCCGCCTCCCCACATCCCATTTTCGGTCTCCGCATCTCATTTTTGGCTTCCTCGCCGCCCGGAACAGGTGGAAAATGGGGCGTGCGGAGGCCGAAAATGGGGCGTGCGGAGGCGGCAACAGCTGATCGTCGGGAGGCTGATCCAACCGACAACCAGCTGCTTGTGCTAATCGGCTGTACTGAAACTGAAACGGGCTGTTTCTTGCAAGGAGACCAAAGTGTGGGGGCCAGTAGATGGGCAGGGCTACATTCGGTGTATAAGACACGCCCTAATTTTCAGCCTCTTTTAGAGGGGGGAAGTATGTTTTATACTCTGAAAAATACAGTATGTAAAGGCTTTTTGCTGCCATGGGTCAGGAAAAATAGCACTTGTGTAGTTGTACTTCCACTGCTCAAAATCCATTTGGGAAAAATCCATAGTTTAATGTTGTAGTTGTACCCGTTTCCACAAGCTGAACTAATTTTTAAAGGATACTTGACCTTTTTAAATGTTATGGCCAACCATGTATAGCATATATCATTTGATCTATACTTTTTTCTTAGATCTAATCTATTTTTTAAAACATGTTAAGTTTTCATGTATGTTATTGTGATTTATTACATGTTTGTGTATCTATATTTTGACAGGTGTAATTGTGGTTTTTAGTATAAGAACATTTGCAAAACAGACTTTAGAAGTCTTTCGTAGGTAGTAGAGGTTTGTTTATTGCCATGTGTAATTTCCTTCTAGTTATATAAAGGGTTGTCCTGCCTTGTCTATTTTGTATGATTTCTTATATTTAATGTTGCCATCTTGTCATTAGATGAAGTTGTTGTTATTCCAGTAGTGTTGAAACTTTAATACCCATTAATAACACCTAATGAAAAAACATGGAATGCTAATAAAGATGAAACACATTAATGTGCTAAATTTGGAGAAGATGAGCTGATATCCAGAGAAATCTGAAGGCTGGCTCAGAAAATTGATTATATCTAAATAAAATATGCTTTGACTTGCAGCCTATTATAAGTCTTTCCAATAGATAGACAATATTTTGATTTAGAAGCAGTATATATTTCATTGCATTTAAATGCATTGAAAATAAAAGAAATGTATTTTATTAACTTCTTGTTCTATAAGATTTATAACTTGCAATTTATTTTTCTGAGGTGATTCAGAGACCACAAATTAAAATACATTTGCCAATTGCCTAATTCTTGTTTTTATCTCCGTGTTCTCATGTAGCCATTACCTAATCTTCCATCTGGACCAAAGGTAACCTCATTCCATGGCACAACAAAATCAGAAATGGCAACAGAAATTGCAAAAACAGAAACAGAAAGCAAACAAAAACGTATGATTTTATATCTATTTTATTTTTATTTTAAAATATTTAATATATAATATTTGATAAAAATTGATTTCTCAAAAGGCCGATAATTCATTCTTGTTTTTTTGACGAAAACATTCTTACAACCTGGGTGAGGAATATGTATCCTAATATAATTTCCATTTGATTTCACTATGTTTGATTAATGTAAGGCTGCCACATTTCACCTTCACAGCTAAAATACCTTAAGCATGACAAGGCATGAAAGCAACTTCTCATTTTAGCGATGGTGAAGATAGTTGATAGCAATTTATTTCTTTACTGCTTGTAAATATATAATATTCTGCTGCATAAGACTCACAAGAGGATTATTATTATTAATTATTATTATTATTATTATTATTATTATTTTATTATTATTATTATTATTATTATTATTATTATTATTATTATTATTAGCTTGTGTAGGAAAAATGTAATAATAATTTTCCATTATAAATCTTGGTTAATCTGGTAGAATCTTAGATTTTCCCTTGACTTTACTCTCCTTGTCTTTTCTGAACTGAGGACTTTAGAAATCATTTCAATAACTTAATTGCTATGGTTCCTCAGCTGCTTCCTTGTCTTATTTCAGTTGCTCATAAAATGAGGGGAAGGTCAAATGCATACTCTTCCCATCTCTTCCTAATGATTTTGTGGAGTGATTCTGTATCCTTTACTAGCATAGTTTTTAAATAATTAATAGTAATGTGCCATACTTTATGGTAAAGTAATATAAATTAAATATATAAAATATAGTAAACCCTTGACTAAAGTGATCGTGGTTTAGTTGAGTATGAATGCAATGGGCAGAATCTTTCTGTGATTCATATTCGCAATATGCATTACCATAAACTTATCAGTGATTTTATGCATGTGTAAAATATGCATGCATAAAATCCATATACATAACATTCAATTCCCATATGTATATGCAAGATCCCATTCAGATTTAATAGACATTCCACTTTAAGTGTCACCTGAACTCCACATTAATTATTTATAATGAAATTTAAACACTTGTATTCAAGCAACAACCATTGGAATGTGCTCAGCGTTCACAACTTTTATTCCTTCCTTTAAGCTAAAGAATACTGCAAAACTGTGTTTGCCTATGAAGGTACTCATGAAGATGAACTTAATTTTAAAGAAGGTGATATTATCCAAATAATAAGTAAGGTAAGTTACACTGGTCTACAAGGAGAAAGCCTTGGAAATGAAAGTAGCTTAATTTTACCAGAATTGGGTCACTAATAAAGGAAAATTAAGTCCTGAGTACTTAATTTTGGACTTAATTGGCTCCAATTTCCAAGATACATCTTCAGGTCAAAATTGCATCAAAATAATTCAAAACAACGAGGCTCTATAACTTTTCTGCAAAATGTGGTATAGCAATGAGAATAGTGCCACACCAATTATTATAAATTTATCTTTTTAGTGATACCAATAACATAACTTTCCAATCATTTATTGGTTTTTCATGTAACATCTTTATGCTTTTCGCATGAAAAACTGAAAAGCTCTAACATCAGATTAAATGAGAAGGTTCTATCTTTATTCGGTATCTAAACTGCACTTTTTGGCTTTTCTCTTTGAACTGCAGTAAGATCATCACTGGGGAGATTCCAGCAGTAATCAGCAAGCATGGACGGATTCCATTTCCCTTGGTATCTTTTCTCATGCCCACGAGATCCTGATGGAATCTCTTCCCATGCTCATTACTCACTGCCCCACAGTTCAAAAGGAAATAGTCTAAATGCGAGAGTAAGAAGAGAATTTTCAGTGACGTGTTTGCATCAAGTGCTTTATAGGATCTAAGCAAATTTTCCACATGTTTTTCATAGTCATCTGCCTTGCTATTCTCAAAACGAAGATAAATTTATACACTTCCATGTGGTACCATTTTCAATGTTCTACCGTACTTTGTTGAGAAGTTACGAGGCATCATGATCATTTTGTATATAAAATATACAAAAGTATGAAGGCTATTGCTTAATGCATTGTAAGCCGCCCTGAGTCTCTGGAGAAGGGCAGCATATAAATCAAAATAAATAAATAAAATAAATAAATTAGACATACCCTCCCTTGTATACTCTCACCTGTGTATAAATCTTTATTGTGAAATATCTTGAAAACTTTAGCCAACCAGCACCTTTATCACCTGTTTTCTAATTCATTTAATTAAAATATGTAAAATTAACACATTTTATCTCAGAGGTTGATAATTTCCCAAAATTTGTAGACCAGAGTTATTTATATTTAAATATTAGTCCTTGACTTACAACCACAATTGGGTCCAGAATTTCTGTTGGAAGTCAGGGTAGTCATAAAAATGAATCCTGATGTCAGTCAGTCACCCAATTTTATTACCATTTTACCATGGTCGTTAAATGAATCCAGCCTCCCTAATAGATATTTTTTGCTGTTTTTTTTGCTAGAAACTAGCAAACAGGTTGCAGATCATGATCATATGACTGCATGATGTTGCAACTGGTCAAAAATGCAAGCCTGTTGCTAAGTGCCAGCATTGTGATAACATGACCATAGAAGTGGTGCAGTGGTCATAATTTTGAGTACTGGTCATAAAACACTTTTTCTGCAGGCCAGAATCTATCTAGAGCACTGTAGCTTAGATATAATAATACCTATATTATTTAAAAGGGGCAAGGAAAATCCCAAGAATCCCAAGAACCAATCAGACTTGTAAGATATTCCTACTGTATTAAATTTTATGTCAAAACAGTATTCGACAAACTGGAAGACTGGATAGAGGCTAACAAGATTATTTATAATGAACAAATAGTTTTCAGGAAAGGTCAGAGCATGTTTGACAATTGTCAGGTTTTCTTTTTATCTTGCTTCTAAATATGAGAACGGTACCACAAAACATTTGAATATAACAACTACTAATTTGACTGCGTACTTTGACTCCGTAGAAGTAAGTTATTGATTAAATTAGATAATACTAACATAGATAAGCATCTACTGTATCTTTTGCAACAGTTCTTTTCAGTTATATTTACCAGAATGAAGGAGGTTTATTTAGATTCCGCACTGAAGCAATATCGACAAAATAAGGAGTAAAGCAAGGCTGAATCCTCACACCAATATTGTTTACTACTTACATACACACTTCATCCCCTCACATGTCAGCTTCTCTAGGTTCTTAGAAAGTTTCCATTTTATCCTACACTGGTAATATACTCTCAGTAACAAGAGTTGAGTTGAAAGAATGTTTTAAAAGCTAGGGCATTATAGGTAGTCCTTGTTTAGTAACCACAATTTGGGACTGACAACGCAGTTAAGCAAAGCAGTCACAGTGAAACTGAGCTTTCCTTTGCTTTACAAACCTGCAGAGGTCATAAGTACTTTTTAGCATTAGTACTTTTCCATCGCTGTCATAATTGTGAATAGTTGTTAAACAAGGGCTATCTATATGTGCATATAAACATATGTAGATATATAGCATGGGTACATATATCTTTACCTCATGAAGTGGTATGATATGTCCAATGGAGTATTCATACAGGCTGGATAGCCATCTTCAAATTCTTTTAGCAGTTTTATGCTGAACAGGAAATTTGACTACGTGACCTTTGAGATTCTTCTAACTCCTATGATTTTACACATAGTCAAAGAGTTCCAGCACAATTCTTCACTGAATTAAAAAGGAAGTTTTTGGTTAGCTGTTACATTTTAACATTTGAGAAGGAAAGGATCAAGTAGTAAGAAAGTTACTTAAAAGAATAAAGCATTGGCTTGGCATTAATTAAAGTGGGATGCCTTCCAACATAGTATCAATATTTGCCACACCTGTGATGAACATTATAGCTAAGCACACCAATACAAAGTTAGGGGATAGTTTTAAACCATGGCTTTTGACCAAGTCATGATGGACTGATTCACACATCACTCAAGTCAAAAGCAAAGAAACCAAGACAAAGTCGGCCTTAGATTTCTGGCAGGCAAAAGTATTCATTGTGTATTTCCCCTATTCCTTGTTTAGCCATTCTATGCATATGTTTTAGATTAATTTATGCAAGGATATGCTCATGGCAAAAAAAATAATCATTAGCACTTCTTTCAAAATAACATTTGCAACCAATAAGCCAACATCCAAACCATGTTCCAAACTAAATTTGCTCCAAACTTAGAGCAAATTCTTGCTTATTCAGTGATCATATGCATATCTCATATTAAGTCTTAAAAACTAGCACATAATTAATGGCTTAGTGCAATACGTGGCTCAATTTCTAAAAAACTGCAACTTAATGTAAACTGGTGGGTAGATGATGAAGCCTTAACATTTATTTGTTGTGTAAAATGAATATACATTTAGTAATTTTGTTTTAGGACACTGGGGAGGAAGGATGGTGGAGAGGCATTCTTAATGGCAAAGAAGGAGTTTTTCCAGATAACTTTGCAGTTCAGATTCATGAATCTGATAAAGATTTTCCCGTAAGTACTTATTGCACTTTTTAAAAAGTTTTAGCTTTAAAAAGCTGGTTTAACAACCAAGTAGTGTGTTTTATATATCCATGGTGTCCCAGGCTTTTTTCATAATTCAGCATTTTATTTTCCTCGTTTAATTATTTTGGCCTTGCAATTGTTCTGTTAATATAGCATTGCCATAACAATGGAGCTCTTTGGAGAAACCTTATTTGGGTGACATAATGGTCCAGTCATTAATGTGTGGCCTAACTTTTCTTGTAGGCCTGTTATGAAGAGCAATGAAGTGATCTTGGAAGATGAGATTGAGACAAACACTATTGCTACCACTGTTCAGCACCTCAAGTTCAGTCTCCAAAAATTGCTTCAGAATGTGCAGGGTCATGGATGCAACCCTTGTCTTCAACTTCTGAAAACAAATGCTCTTGATCTTAAATCATACATCTGCACTGCTTTGAAGTCATGTAGACAAATGCTACATTTGCACTTCTATCACTCTGAAGCTTTTTTTGGAAATGTGAACCCAAAATATATAATAATGTTAGTACTTTCATTTTTGGCTCTGAAATATTTTTAATTCAAATAAAGATCCTGGCTTGGGTCTTTAAAAGTCTCAGCAAAATTAAACTTATAAAAATCTAAATTTTCTTCCTGGCATACTAGTAAGCCATATGTTATTCTTGAACTGCATGTTTGGGTTATCAGAAGGTGTGGTGACTAGGGATTACGGAAATCTTTCTAAAGCATACAGAACAATGTATAAGTAAAGAATAAGTAAATGCAACTTGAACTAGTGATGAGAAGTATTTGGGAAAGGTGTTAACAATATACATTGCATACTTGGAATTCTATGAATGACTTTAACAAACTTACAGAATAGATTCCTGAACAAATTTTGACAGTATTCCAGAGACAGGTGATAGAATAAATGAAAAATAATCAAATCAGACAGACGATCAGGGTAATATCATCCAGGACCTGGTATCAAGAATAATAATAATTGGAGTTGTCAATAATCTTTCCTGTTATTACTTCTTTTGCAAACTTCAAAAGGTACACTGTTTCAGCTTGAATTTAAAAACAAGGCTCTCAGTATACCTCAGTCTATTAGACCAGACAATTTCTAATCAGTTCAGCAAGCATTATCAAGATCATTCTTGTCTTGTCTTGTCTTGTCTTATTCATTTAACTTTATTATTCAGTTCATTATCCTTTCAGTGGTGCCTCTAGGTGGCACTGGAGTTTATTTTCACCCAGGAAAAGTAGAAGAAGTTTTTCCTTTTAAAAACAATTCATTCCATTACTTAAATTTAATTCTATTTCATTTGTTAAGATTAAAAAGTTTAAAAATATTCAATCAGGCTTTCTACTCTTACTCTCTTGTTGTCCAAATTAATTCTGCTAATTCATTTAATTTTCTTTTCTTTCATTTGGGCTTGCTGTATTGTCGAAGGTAGAGAAGCCGACACACACCCACTTCTCCCTCCTCTCTTTTTGCCACTTTCTCCTCTTTTAGCTATTTCCTGGAGGTTATGAAAAGAAACTTGTATTTTTAAGAAAAGCAGGCATCTCACCCAGACGATCCACACTTCCCTTTACTTCCATGCTTCTGCTGTGGCCACCCCAGCTTCATAGCAGGTCTCAATGGCTGCTTTCTCAGCCGTCCGGTTGAGAGGCTTCTTCTGACCAGCCAGGGAATTTGCAGTTTCCCTGTGCTTGCCAGTCTGTGCCTCTCTCGTTCACCATCCCTACAGGACAGCTTCAGTCAAAAAAACCCCCAGATGGCTGCAATATTGATGATCCTTTGGGAGCCCCCAAAGAAACCATCGTTTCGCTGTGGATGCTGCCCCTCCCCCCCGGGATATTTTCTTTTTCCTTTACTTACGGATAACAGAGTGGAGATTCTACTTGTTAATTTTTCGTTCCTTTTTCTTTCATCTTCAGTTGCCTTTTTTTGTATTTAACAATTGATTGGATTGTGTTTTTCTTTTCTTTTTTCTTCTTTTTATTTGTGGTCTGTGCTTCTTTTTTGTACACAGACATTCCTCTTTTTTTTTTCCTGCCGTTGGCTTTTTGGTCTAGTTAATTCCTCACCAGAGGAAATTTGGATTAAGGTTAGAAAAATCTGAAGATTAAAATCATGAATGTTGGATTTGGATTGTAATACTTTATTTTTGTATTGTTTTGTTTTTGTTATCTCTCTTTGTCTCCTTTTTATTTTTACTTTTTCTTTTTGGTTGGTTGGCTTATTTTTGTACTTTTACTTTTTTTTTAATTCACCCAACGGGGTGGATTAAATATTTGGATTATAAATTCTATTTGGATTATAACCTGGTGGATTATAATATCAAGACTACAAGATGAAGAAAACAACAACACATCTGCCTTCAATAGCCTCGGCGACAACTTTTAGCCCTGCAGCTCAGAGAACATTGGACACTATGACTAGGCAACTGGAACTAAAAAATATGATACAGGCGTTTCATGAATACGTCAAAGAAAGAATAGGCAAATTAGATGAGAGAATGGAAAAAGTAGAAGGGGAATGAAAAGATGTCAAGGGGATAATTGAAAAAAATGAACAAAGAATACAAAAGGTGGAAGAAAAAGTAGAATTGACGGAAAAAAGAGTGGGAGAGCTGGATGACAGACTTACAATAGCTAATAAAAACCAGGAAAAGACAATTATTTCTTTAGAAATGGATCGTGCAGATTATTATCTAAAATTTCAAACATGGAAGAGAAAGGGGAAAATTTAGCTGAAATAATGGCAGAGTTGTTGGCGGAAGCAATGGATGAAACTAAAGAAAAGATATGAAGTGAGATCCATGAGATTTTTAGAGTACATACTTAGATATGCATTGAGAAACAAATTACCTAGGGAGATACATGTAAGATTCACCAAGAAAGCAATAAAAACAGAGATATTACAGACAGCAAGAAACAACCCAATAAAATATAAAGGCAGAGAGATTGTGGTGTTGAAACAAATACCTTGAAGAGTCAGAGATCTGAGAAAAGAATACTAGTTGTTGACAAAATGTTTAATTTAAAAAGGAGTGAGCTTCAAGTAGTTAAAACCGGAAGGAATATTGGTGAATTGGCAGGAGCAAAGACACAGATTAAACTCGCTAGAGAAGGCAGAACTATTTTATGATCAATATTTGGGACTATAAGAGGAGAGATTGAGAGAGGAAAAACAGATTAGATACCAGGAAGAAACAGTGAAAGAAAAAGAAGATCAAATAAGAGAGAGAGCAAAGGAACAAGAAGAAAGAGCAATAAGAGAAGGGGCAAGGCTAAAAGATGTTAAAGAACAAAGAGAGACAAGAATGACAAGATCAGCAAAGACTATTAATAAGTAAACTATGGAGGAAGAAGTAAAAGCAATATCAATAAATATAAATGGATTAAATTCGGCAATAAAAAGGAAAAGAACTTTAAATAAATTGGAAAAATTAAAAATGGACATAATATGTTTACAAGAAGTTCATATTAGAAAATAACATAAAAAACTTTTGGAATACCAAAAATTGGGAGAAGTATTTACTGCACTAGCACATCAAAGTAAAAGAGGTGTAGTACTATACATTAAAAAGACACTAAACAAATATTTGCTGACGAAGAACAGAGGATTCTTATGGTGGAAGTAACAATGAACTATAAACAAATACTCTTAGTGGCAATATATGCCCCAAATGACAAGATTTTGATGGAAAATTTCACAGAAAAATAATTGAAGTCAAGTATGAAAATATTTACATGATGAGTGCAGTAACAGAAATTGAATTGGACTATAAAACCACAAAAATAAATAAATAAACCCAGAAAAACTCTTCCAAAAGCCTTTTTTACAATGGTGGAGGAATTAAATATCCAAGATGTTTGGAGAAGAAGATATTCAAAAGAAAAACGATACACTTTTTATTCAAATAGACATGTGTCATGGTCTAGAATAGATATGATGTGGATATCAACCAATTTATTAGTTAATATACAAGATATAAACATTGAAACAAGCACATGGGCAGATCATAATCCAATTACAATTATATGGAAGGGACAAAAAAAGAGATCAAGATGGACATTAAATCAAACAATATTAAATGAAAAAGAGTTTCAACAATTTATGGAGAAAGAATTGACTTTCTTTTTTAGAGAAAATAAAAAGGAAGACACCTCATTACAAAATGTGTGGGATAGAGTGAAAGCATACATTTGAGGATTGGCAATGACTTATTTGGGAAAAAGGAATAAAAAGAAAAGAAACTCAAAAAAATGGAAGAGAAGTATAAGAAATTAGAAATGGAACTACAGAAAGATACACAAAATAAGAGGATTAAAAATCAAATGGGCCTTAAAAAACATGAATTGAATCTAATTGAAAAAGAGGATTTGGCGCTCAAAATAAAAATTTCTAAGCAAAATTTTTTTGAAAATGCAAACAAACAGGAAGATGGTTGGCATACAAAATTAAAAAGGAGAGAGAAAAAAAGTTAATCAACTAACGGATGAGAAGGGAACTGTATACTATCAAAATGAAGAAAAGAAAATAGTACAGAATTATTACGAGAAACTCTAAATAAGAGACAATATCAGAAGACAGGATAAAACAATACCTAGAAAAATCTGAATTACCCAAAATACCAGAAGATTATAAAAAAGGCATTAGAGGAAAGAATAACGATGATGGAACTAACAGGGGATTAAAAAACAAAAAAAAAAATGGCAAAATGCCAGGGCCAGACGGATTGCCAGCAGACCTATATAAAACATTACAAGATGTAATAAACAACACAATGCTGGAAGTATTTAATGAACTCCTGATAGAACCAAAGATACTAAACTCATGGATGGAGGCATATATTACTCTTATACCAAAAGAACATACAGATCTGCAACAAATAAAGAACTATAGACTGATTTCCCTGTTAAATGCGATTTATAGGATATTTGCATCAATAATGGCTGATAGATTAAAGATATTGTTAAATAATAGATATGGACCAAAATGGTTTCCTACCCAAGAGACAGATTAGAGACAATATGAAAATAATTCTGAATACTTTGGAATATTATGAAGCACATCCAGAAAAACAGATGGCATTGATGTTTCTTGATGCATAGAAGGCGTTTGACAATGTGAATTGACAATTTATGATAAAACAACTACAGACTATGGATTTTGGGGGGAGATTTATAAATATGATTAAAACAATTTATTATAAGCAATCAGCAAAAGTGATGGTAAATGGAGATATGACAAAGAAGGCTAATATTATGAAAGGCACAAGACAGGGTTGTCCTCTATCACCATTATTATTTATGTTGACATTAGAGGTATTAAATAGAAATATAAGACAAAATGAAGAGATAAAAGGTATTAGAATTTAAAAAGAAGAATATAAACTACAGGCATTTGCAGATGATTTAGTCTTGATTTTACAGGAGCCGCAAGAAGTTGGGCCAAAATTAATAGAACAAAAGAAGAAGAATTGTTTATAAGCAATCTAAAGTTAGAGATACCAAATTGTTCAAGGTAGTAAAAAAAATAATTGCTACGTGCAAAATTTGCTTTCAAATTCTTGATCTTTTGATCAGTCTATTTCAATTTCTTAATTGTATTTCACCAGCAAATTGTAGACAAGGCCCAGGAAATGTTCTGAATGTTGTGTTACAGGGTGTGTTTTTTTTAAAATTCAGACTGGTTTCTAGTTGTTATTTTAGACACAATTCAGTGAACTTGAAAAATTGGGTTCATTGTTGTTTTGTTCCTGGATGGCTACCAATTTTTTTCAATTATCTTTGTATGTCAATTGCACCTTTTTCTGGAAAATGTAGCTAACAATAGTCACCTGTACCTTACCTTCACAGATACTCTCTTATTTCCAAATGAGTAATAATAAAACTTCTGCTTATGGAGAATAAGAGATTTCTGAGAAAGAAGAGTCTCCTTTGGCAAGATGGATGTCATACAATTTTGATAGATAAACAAATAAAATAGAGGAGAAAGAGTTGTTGATTCCCCTTGCCTTCTTTGCTTCCTCTTCTTTCTCAGCTATCATTTTCCTGATCATTTTCGAAAACTTTGGTCTGCCTAAGATTTGTAATCCTTGCACCAGTAATTTATAGACAGTACAATTGAGTTACTGAGTATACCTGTTGTCTTCTGGGTCTTAATTCAAGAAAATACTTGGCATAAATATTAGTTATTTATATTTTGTCCTCTTTGCAGAAGCCAAAGAAGCCACCACCTCCTGCAAAAAGTCAAGGTATGTAAGATAGGGTTTTATTAGACCATAATTGCAAAAGAGACTGTAATTGATTGGAAATTATTAATAATTGTCTCAATCAGAACTTCCTTTTCTCCATTTTGCACACACAAAGATTCACATCTCCAATCTCAATGGTAACTGCTCACATGCTATAGTCACAGCCTAGTTTCATTTTATAAATCATAATCAAATTGTGCACTATTCAAACTCGCATTAATTGTGACTTACCTATACAATAATTTATATATATATATGAATTCATGACTTCTATGAATACAAATGAGGAGATAATCCTGAACATACTTCCATGTGATAGTGTATAACTATTTTTTCCTATACAGTTGCAAGAAAAAGTATGTGAACCCCTTGGGATTACGTGGAGTTTTGCATGAATTGGTCATACAATGTGCTCTGAACTTCATCTAAGTCACAACAATAGAAAAACACAGTCTGCTTAAAATAATACTACACAAACATTAGATGTTGCCATGGTTTAATTGAACATAACATGTAAACATTCACAGTGCGGGGAGGAAAAAGTATGTGAACCTTTGGACTTAATAACTGGTTGACCCTCCTTTGGCAGCAATAACCTCAACCAAACGTTTCCTGTAGTTGCAGGTCAGACCTGCACAGCGATCTGGAGTAATTTTGGATCACTCCTCTTCACAAAACTGTTTCAGTGTAGCAATATTCTTGGGATGTCTGGTGTGAATCGCTCTCTTAAGGTCATGCCACAGCATTTCAATCGGGTTGAGGTCAGGACTCTGACTGGGCCACTCCAGAAGGCGTATTCTGTGCTGTTGAAGCCATTTTTTTGTTGAATTACTTGTATGCTTTGGGTCATTGTCCTGTTGCATCACCCATCCTCTGCGGAGCTTCAGTTGGCGGACAGATGGTCGTAGGTTTTCCTGCAAAATGTCTTGATAAACCCTGGAATTCATTTTCCCATCAATGACAACAATCCGTCCAGGCCCTGAGGCAGCAAAGCAGCCCCAAACCATGATGCTCCCTCCGCCATGTTTTACAGTGGGGATGAGGTTTCAATGTTGGTGTGCTGTGCCTTTTTTTCTCCACACATAGTGTTGTGTGTTCTTCCCAAACAACTCAATTTTAGTTTCATCTGTCCACATTATATTTTGCCAGTAGTGCTGTGGAACATCCAGGTGCTCTTTTGCAAACTTCAAACGTGCTGCAATATTTTTTTTGGACAGCAATGGCTTCCTCTGTGGTGTCCTCCCATGTACTCCATTCTTGTTTAATGTTTTCCTTATTGTAGATGTGTCAGCAAAAATGTTAGCATGTGCCAGAGATTTCTGTAGGTCTTTAGCTGACACTCTAGGATTCTTCTTTACCTAATGAAGCATTCTGTGCTGTGCTCTTGCAGTCATTTTTACAGGACGACCACACCTAGGGAGAGTAGCAACAGTGCTAAACTTTCTTCATTTGTAGACAGTCTGTCTTACCGTGGACACATGAACATCAAGGCTTTTGGAGATACTTTTGTAACCCTTTCCAGCTTCATGCAAGTCAACAATTCTTGATTGTAGGTCTTCTGAGACCTTTTCTGCGAGGCATGGTTCACATCAGACAGTGTTTCTGGAAACCAGTAAACCCAAAACAGGTGTGTGTTTTTAAAGGGCAGGACAGCTGTCAGCAACACATCCAATATCATCACACTGATTGGAGTCAAGGTTGGCTCACTCCTGGCTCCAATTAGCTCTTGGAGAAGTCATTAGGCTAGGGGCTCACATACTTTTTCCTCCCTGCACTGTGAATGTTTACATGTTATGTTCAATTAAACCATGGCAACATCTAATGTTTGTGTAGTATTATTTTAAGCAGACTGTGTTTTTCTATTGTTGTGACTTAGATAAAGTTCAGAGCACATTTTATGACCAATTCATGTAAAACTCCACGTAATCCCAAGGGTTTCACATACTTTTTCTTGCAACTGTAGTTAAAAAATCTCTTTAACAATATATTCAATCATTTTAAAAGGCTACGCCATAAAACAATTCTTGTTCTTAAGGACTAAAATTCCTGTGCCACTCAGCACTTCTAATTGGATTTCTACCACATATTTGATAGGTGTACAATACATTTTAGTATTAAATTATCATACAGTAGTTTCTCTACTAAAGCAGTGTGATTTTTAAATATTGGCTCTATCTGCAGGTTCTAAGGCTGATCTTCTGCCTGTGGAGAAGAAGTTTCCTCATCTCAGGAATGAAGAAAAGGGTAAGTTCAGGTTTATCCCCTGATACCCAAAACAAAAATTTTTAGGACTGTGGTTTAAAGCAAAGCAGCTTTAGTATAAATACAAGCATATGATTCAGGTGGTAGAAAGGAGCTAAATAAGAAAAGGCATATAATATTTACAGAATTTTAAAACTGTATGTATCCCTGAAATAGCAAGCACTAACTAAAAATTACACTGTTCAGTGTAACATTAGAAGCGTATACAGATTAAAAATAAAGTTTTTTGTAAAACAACCGAAAGTTGTGTAAAATTTATTTTGTTGGCAGTAAAAAGAAATTTAAACTCCATCCAAAATAGATTTTTTAGAGTTTTGTCCTACTTTTATTATTTTTATAAATAACTTGATATGGTGAACATATCTAATATTCCTTCCTCCTCCTATTTTCCCCCAGAACAACAACCTTATGGGTTGAGCTGAGAGAGACTGGCCCAAAGCCAGCCAGCTGGTTTTCATGCCAAAAGGTGGATTAGAACTCACAGCTTCCTGGTGCCTTAACCATTAGACTAGACTGGCTCTCATACATTTTAAAGAATATAAATTCATGATTTTCTGCAAAAACTTTGCTAATAAATCCTACAGCCAGGAAAAGTCAATATTTTACAGACTTTATGAATAATATGCTGGATTCCACTTGTATCCGTTTAAAAAGAGTCCGTTGCAGCTGTATGAACCTGAGAAAATAAACTAAAGGAAGCAAGATTCCTTGGTCTTAATTCAACTATGTCTTAGTCTTATTTGAAATGGCTTCTAGAATGCAAATTGGGGTATTTGTTCAGAACCGCCTATGCCCATGGAAGAAACTTTCATAAATCATTTCTACATTATTTTTATGGTAAACATTATTCTCTCACTCTGTTCCCAGATGAAAAACCAGTGTTGGATCAGAAGATCTCTAAACCAGTGGCTCCCCAAGTACCACCAAAAAAACCTGTCCCTCCAAACAAGGCTAATAGCATATTAAAAGCTGGGATCTTGCTTTCAAAATGGCCAGATAAAACAGTTTTGCAACCACCAGTTCCTAAGTAAGTATCTTATTTTGTACGTGATATTCTTCAACATGCCGTTTTTAAATTGCTGTAAGACAAAGTTTGAACAAGTTAAGAATTGCATATGTAACTACCGTGTTTCCCCGAAAATCAGACCCTGTCTTATATTTTTTTGAACCTTGAAATAAGCACTTGACCTTACTGCCATGCGCTCAAAAGCCCAATCGGGCTTATTATCAGGGGATGTTTTATTTTGGGGGAAACAGCGTATATTGCAATTAATACATCTTTATTTACCTTTTATGATCCTGTCCTTCTAAAGAATCATATTGAGATTGGGAGAACACGCTGTAGGTTTTTACATTCACACTTGTTTCTGCCATCTCAATTTGTTTTCTTTATTGTTATTTTCTCAGACACACGGAGTAATGAAATGTAATTTCTCTACTTTATTTCCCAAGTGCATGTTGAAACCATAAATTGCTGAGTATATAAATCATAAGTCATAGTAACAGTTAGATAAAAGAAAACTGAAGGAGGGAACCTGCATGTAAGAAGTGTGTCTCTGCATATATCTCAGCTTCTAACTCACAATTTGAAGAACTGGATTCTTGAAGAACTGATGTAATTTTTGTAAAAGCATATATAAAGTTTTTGTTACATGTTTCATTTTTTCTTAATTGCTGATAAAATTATTTAACTTTCAAACATAGGATAAATGGGGAAATTGCATCCTGGAGGCCAAAGTCCGAAATTGAGCCAACAGTGAAACCAAAGATAGACTCTGAACAGTTACCATTGAAATCAAAATCAGTAGAGGTAGACTCAGCCGCACTACGGAACTTGAAAGAAACAGGTAAATTTGAAAAGTGTACATAATGAGTCTCAATTTTCTGCTACATAGTATTAGAATAAACCACAAAAAAGAATAAACAACATCTTCAGAAAGGAATACTTTATAATTAGTGGATTCTGTTGTGGAAAAGCTCTGTGGTAGAGGTTGGTAGGAGAGGACCTATAGGTATAAGTGTATCATTCCCTTCATGGCCCTCAGAATCCCTTCATACATTTTTCTGTAGTTTTAGTGGCAAATTTAAAGAGGAAGTTGTCTTGCAGCAAAGCAGAAAGCTCTAGCAATATTCTTTAATCATAAGAATGCTTCTGAGCACCTTCTAGGATCCTTAGGCATTGTTACAAAATAGAAATAATGGATGGTTGCATCACACAGGATTACTTGGATACATACTCACCTGCCTTGAAAAAGAGTGCCCTGAAATTTGCCTTTTGATAAATTGATATCTTCTATCCATCATTGCTTCCACTCTCAATGGCAGATGTTTCTGACTTTCAAAATTCCAGATGTTGTCCACCATCTCCAAATGTGGACTTTGTTTTGCTTATGGCGCAATAAATATTCATTTTTTAAAATACTGGAAGATTTTCCCTACCTCAGACTTTTGGAATTATTTAAAAATAGTTATTCAAATAGACTCTACAGGCTTCTGGAATTTGTTTGTTTGTTTATTAATTTATTTTTGAATTATTCCAATACTTGGAAAGCTGAAATGAGGTGCACTGTATAATGTTGAGAATGCTTATGCCCAAATGTTAAAAGTTAACATTTCAAGTAGATAATGGGAAAAATAATGTTTTTGTATAATGCATTTTTTTAAAAAGAATCCTTAAAACAAGCGCTTTCACATTATAGAACTCATTCTGTTATTTTATTATACTTCAAAAGAAGGTCTCAAGCATCTATTTTGTTGAAGTTCAATGCATATAAAATTTAAAAGGGAATAATTTACAATATCTTATATTTTTTAAAATTATTCAAAGATTTTGTATTACAATTATTTGTCCTAATGTCAGAAAGGGTCTGCAGAAGTGAGTGGAATAAATTAGTATCTGATAAGCAAATTGAAGGTGTACTAGGAATAAACTGGGGTCTCATTCATATTAGCAAAGCAAAAATCAGAATACTGAAGCAAAGCACAAAACTACTTTCATAGTTACTAGGTTATTAGTTATTAATTGGAGTTGGTATTTCCTTCAGAATCTTTATTTTAATAAGAGCACAAGGTAGACTAAGAGCAAGAAGGCCCAGTTTCTAGTTCTTCCTTAGGTGTGGAAGCTGACACTGTGATTTTGGGCCACTTTCTCTCTCTCTCTCTCTCTCTCTCAGCCCTAGTATAGATAAACTCTTATGGAGTTTATCTCACTAGTGTAGGTTGGTAGATAATTTTGTTATTTGGGCATACAAATGTTCTTGATGTACCAAACCCAGCTATCCTTTTTATGCCTGGTTAGGGTAAAGAATGGGGACTAAAAATTTCCAAACTTTCAGAACATAGAGGATTTCATGTAGGGTTGAAATTATGGGGTATTTCTGATCATTGCCATTCAAGTGTCTGTCAGCCTGGTTGGGGATGTTTGTGTGAAAAGTTCACCTGAATCTCTCAGAGCGATCCAGGGAGATATAAGCAACAGGTTTTGTCTCTATATTGTACATCTTTGGGTTCTAAAACCCTGTTTGCCTGGACAAGATTAAAAAGGATTTGTAGAGAATCATGCGAACGACTTCTTTCACCCCTTCATGAGACAGCACTTCTAATAATTACAGGGCAATAAATCATCTGTTATCTTAAAGAGATATGATACATAATACATCTCTCTATATCTGTGCATTTATATTTCTAAGTATGTTTTCTTTAAACAAGAAATGATTTCCTTTAAAAAGAAATCCCATAATCTCCTTGTACTCAGGAATATAGGTTTTTTTGCTCGGTTTATAAACTGAAATTGATTTGCCTTTTTAACCTCCTTTCCCCTCTCCCTTCCCCCATGTATTACACACACACACACACACACACACACACCTTTTAACCTAGTGAAACAACTTTTCTAAAAGACAACCCTATAAAACTGCTGTTTAGATTACTGGAATATCATTTTGAAGGATTTGCTGCTATGTGTGTGCATTCTGTAGTGTCAGTGGCACATATCCTTTACTACTTTAGCAATAGTGTTGATAGCTTTTGATTTGTACATATTTGCAGTATACTTTTAATCTGATTTAATATTTGGAAAAATGAAAAAATTTTGGTATATATATTTTATACTTGGTATATTTATATTTATATATTATATGCATATATTAATCCAATTTGAATATGTACAAAGGACTGAAGTTTTATGAGTGCAGTAGTGTAAATATTTATTAATTTTCCCACTAAATATTTCTGGTTTCTGACTTGCTCTACACCTGACTGGATTGCTCTCTTCCGTTCTGAACCCGAATAATGTCCTTTCCAACTGAGCTTAAGGCAAAATGTACAGGTAGTCCTCAATTTACAACAGTTGATTTAGTGACTATTCAAAGTTATAACGGCACTGAAAAAAGTGACTTATGACCACTTATGACAGAGGTCTTCAAACTTGGCAGCTTTAAGACTTGTGGACTTTAACTCCCAGAATTCTCCAGCCAGCTACGCTATGCTGGCTGGAGAATTCTGGGAGTTGAAGTCCACAAGTCTTAAAGCTGCCAAGTTTGAAGACCTCTGATTTATGACCATTGCAGCATCTCCATAGTTAAATGATCAAAATTAAAGTACTTGACAACTAACTCATTTAGCATCCCCGGGGTCACGTGGTCCCCTTTTGTGACCTTTTGACAAGCAAAATCAATGGGGAAACCAGATTCATTTAACAAGCATGTTACTAATTTAACAACTGCAGTGATTCACTTAACAATTGTGACAAGAAGGGTCATAAAATGGGGCAAAACTCACTTAACAAGTGTTTTATGCTTAGCAACATAAATTTTGGGTTCAATTGTGGTTGTAAGTTGAGGACTGTAGATGTGCCATGGCACCTGTGGTGGGCGTGTTTTTTGGAGAGAGATTCCTCCTTCAGAGGAATAGAGCAACAGGCCTCATTCCCATACAACATCTGATACATTGGATCACATATAATATAGGCTTGCACAGTTTCCCTTCACCTCACAACCCTGAGGAGAGCTCTGGTGAAGCCTCCTCTTCCTCCTCCTCAGCTGATCCAATGAATTACCTGCCACTGCTGAGGGGAGGGGAAACCAAGAAAGTCACAGACCATAAAGTCAACTAAACCCCTGCTCCCCATTCTGGTCTGTGCCCAAGGATCCCCTCCTTACAGGGGGGAAGGTGGCTCACCCACCAATGCCAGTGCCCCACCCCAGCCAATCCTACCTTCCCAGCAGGTATCCCTCCCTCATCCTTCCTCTTTCCAGAATATAGGCTTGGGGAACTCTCCAGGCAGTCCTACCTTGTCAGCAGGCATTCCAGAGTCATTCCCTCGTCCTTTCCTTTCTGGCACCGCTGTTAAGAGATTTCAAATTTTGGCCTCATTTTTAATACAGCCAACAGCCATTCAGCCAATTGGGCACAGGGGCAAGAGAAACATGGGAAAGAGAGTGGGAATACAATCTCTCCTTGTGCCACACAACCTATGGGTTTCTGGGGAAGTGTCGTTGGTATAGTGGCACTGAAGCAGCCACAACTTTCCCATATTTCATTTCCATAGGAGTCATGGCTCTCAGCATTCTGTAAGTTATCCCATTTCAGTTCCTTGATTCAATAATTGTTGCCATGTACTTTCCAATTTTGCCCAATTGAAGGTTACAAATTTACAAACAGACATGAGAATGTTAGTAGTATTCAGATACAGCACTTAAATACTTTAATCATTCTCAGGATAGAGGTATCAGTATCAGGCATCAGTGATCATACTACAGATAAAACCTTTAAACAGCTAAATCTGTTTTTATTAAAACCTGTTATAAAATAGGTAAATAAAAGTAATTTTGCCTATCTGGCAGGATTTATATTGCTCTCCCTAATACATGACCCAAGTAATAATTTGGGTCATGCAATTGAATAGTTTTTAATAATGGATTGCTATCAAATGTCATTCACTAGTTTCTTTCCTGCTATTTTCCCATTGTGTATTACAATATGCTATTTCCTTTTCATTCTTAAACTGTTATATAATCTTGCTCCGTAGTCTACAATATATCTTTGTAACTTTTGTAAACATTTTGTTGGTATTGTTAACATTTTAACTGCTTTTAATCCCTACTAATTCAGTCTTCAAGGCATTCCAATTAATAAATTATAAATGAGCCATGCTAGGGTACTGTTGCATTCAGTAAACTAAATAGTACTGTACTACTTACAGTACAGTATTTAAGTCCAACTTTTTAAAGTTGAGATAAATGTGAAAAATACTCACACTTTAGTTCTTTATTTCTGTAAACCTTTGATGTTGTGTGCATGCATGGAGTTCTGTTCAGCACTATGGGACAGGACTTCAGTTTGCATAGTGAAAATTTCTATTTGTGAGGAATCAAGAATCCATATACTAGCAGAAAAGCTTTGATATGCTTTTAGAAGATGTATGTAATACTTTAATAAGTAGAAATCAATAATCCCTGTCATCTACCTCTTTATTCAGAGATAGCTGAATTTCAATACCTCTGAAAAAAGAGTGTCATGGATCCAGTCAGCTACTATGGTTAGAAATGTACCCAGAACCAATTTGGCATATTTTTAAAAATAGCATAGATTCTTCCCCTGAATGAAATTGAATGGATGTTGCTAAAATAAAAAATGTCCTGATTATGTATTGAAGATAAAGCTGCCATATTTTTCCTGCAAGATACTTTTTTTTTTGTTCAAAATCTTTTCTAGATATTCGTCTCCTTGACTTTTCTTTCCAGATTTTGTTTCCTATCCTGTTTGCCATGTTTCCCTTCTTACGTGTCAGGAAATTACCCTTCCCTTCTCCATTTTGGTAAGAAACTTTCTATATAGCAATCCACAT